CACGGTACTCGGACCCCTCCTATTTATTTTGTATATCAATGTGTTATCTCTGCTCACCGACTCCCCTATGGTCCTATACGCAGATGACTTAAAAATTTGGGGGGAGCTGAAGGGCAACAGTGACACGTCCACGTTGCAAGAGGACCCCAACAAATTGTCAGAGTGGTCCATAGAATGGATGCTTCCGATAAACGTGACAAAATGTGCAACCATGCGCATTGGAAAAGCAAGCACGAGCTCCTACGAACTAGAGGGAATAACACTTCCATCACTTCAGACTCACTTGGACTTAGGTGTCATAATTAGCCACGACTTAAAAACTACAGCACACTGTCGCGCGGTGACTGGACGTAGTTTCAGGTCATTATAGGCAATGCGCAGAGCCTTCACTAGAATCACCAGAGATATGTTCACCTCCTTATATACATCTCTGGTGAGGTCAAGACTGGTAAACTGCATCCAGGCCACCAGTCCTTGTCTAAAAGGGGACCCGCACATTCTAGAAAGGGTTCAAAGGAAGGCAACACGTATGGTTCACGGCATTACTAACATATCATACGAGGTAAGACTAGACAGTTTAAATCTCTTCTCACTGTCATACCGTAGGCAGGGAGGAGATTTAATCACAATGTTTAAAATTTTGAATAGTGACTACGGACCTGGCCTATTCTCTCTTTTCCTTCCCACTGGGTCGGAACACCTTAGAGGACATATCAGGAGAGTTCAAAGGCCAAGAATAAATCATATTGCTGTTGAGTACTGGCTCTCATACCGAGTCATAAACTCTTGGAACCAACTCCCAGAAGAATTGGTGTCTGCAACCTCAACTGATTTGTTCAAGAAGGGTTTGGACAACCACAGAAATTTACTAGAAAAGGATTAACATAGGCTCCAAGCCTTCTATCCTCAACCAATAATTCTGAAATCTGATAATTATTATAATAAGTGTGGGTGTAGTATTTAAAGTAGTCAGGACAATAAGACGGGAGAGAATGTAAGGGAGTGAGACGACGAGTTTAGATGTCTACCTATTAATGGCGTATGGGATTTTAAGGGGATAGACCATTTGGGAGCAATCCTCGTGTGGCTGCATGAAAGCCCAGCCTTCGCCTAAAGCTGTCTACAGACGGTGCCGTAGCTGCATCGGCCGGTAAGGAGTTCCACGGACGGCAAACCCGCAGTGAAAAGAAGTGGGAGCGCACTCGAGTCTTTGCCTTCTGGTGAGCTATTCTTTTGGGGCTCCCACTATTAAGCTTATACGTTCTTAATGGCAGATACCTTTGTTTAAGTGATTTTGGTCATTTGTTATCTTGTAGGCAGTACTCAAATCCCCCTAAGCCAACGTTAGCTAAGTGTGAATAGGCCTAATTTCTTTAGCCTAACATCATGTGGTTTATCTCGGAGATCAACCACTCCTTTATTCTCCCGTCTTTGGACTCTTTCCAAGAGGTCCCCGTCTCTTCTAGGCAGTGGGGGTGCAATCATGTTATGCATTTCAAGGTGTGCACTGACGTTTGTTCTGTACAGCCTTAGAAGGAGCTCAGGAGTGAGTGCACCCAACTGTCTGTGCGTAAAGTATATGACCGCACATGCCGTCGCTAAATCCCCCGTTTAATTCACCCTTGTGTCCATTTTTTCCATTAGAACTAAACCTAAGTCACGCTCCAACGCTGTGTAAGACAGGCTTTTGTTGCGAAGGTTGTAACTTGCATTCTGCAACCTACAAGCGCATTATTGCACTACTTTGCACTTTTTCAGGTTGAAAGTCATACCACTGGCTACCTCTCGGTCTTCCAGAAGCTTTAGGTTTGCCTGCGGCCTATCTGAGTCTTCCGAACACTTTATTGCTCTCTAAATCTTTACATCGTCAGCGTATAGAAGAGTTGCGGAGCCTAGACGGCATGGTAGGTCATTGATAAAAATCAAAAACATCAATTACCCTACGATAAAGCCTTGCGACACTCCTGATGACGAGCTGTGCCAAGATGATAGGACTCGTTTGACCTTAGAGCAAAATTTTCTTTCAGCTAAGTAGTCCTTCAACCATGGCAGAAACGGTCTACCTTTACCTGACTGACTTATTGTGTGTTGCAGAAGGTCCTGGTGAACTGTGTGAAATGCCTTCTCAAAGTCTAGGAAAACCACATGGACAGTAACATTCATTTCCCAGAATGATGTACAATCGTCCCAATCTGAAAGTAGGTTTGTTATACAGGATCTTCCTTTACGGAAACCGTGTTGAGCTTCATGGAGTCTATTACTCCTATCGAGGTGCTCCCTGAAGTGATCGTCAATAATACTTTCCAGTACTTTTGATACCACTGGGAATAGAGCTACTGGTCTATGACTAGTGGCATTTCGCCTGTCTCCACTCTTGAAGATCTGAGAAAGGATGGTTCTTTCCAACTCCCTCTGCAGCTTCCTCGAATTCATCGAGTGTTGGTAGAAGTCACATAAGGAGCTTCGGCACATTGTTTCAGAACAGATGGCCTGATGTCGTCACAACCTGCAGACTTTCCAGATGTAACTCTCTGTAACTTCCGTAGTACTATTGCCGGGTTTATTCGGAGAGTAGCCACTAGGTTTTCCTCAGGTGGAATAGTAGTGCCTCCATTTTGGTCCGTACCGGTAATACCTACATTACTGTTTAATTGTTTGTCGAAGGCTAAACTGAATGTTTCGGCCATCTTCAGACTAATGAGGCATTGACCGTTTGGACCAATTGGGGTGCATGCCACCTGGTTGATTGATTTCCTCTCCAACATGAATCGGTACTGGCTTCCTGGATTCGCCACAAGTATTTTGGCAAGGTTGGCCTGAGATGGCCTCCTTCAACTTACCCCAGTCTCTACTGACCAGTGTAGTGGTGTGATACAGACAGTGTGTTCTAACGGGATATGATTCTCACATATTCTCACAGTTAGATACTGCATTAGCAACGAAATACTATATATAGTTGAAAATTCTATTCCATGTTGCCAGATGTTCACTTGCTTACCCCCTCAGCCCTCTCACACTGCTATACAGGCAGCTAACAGTGATTCTCACAACCTCAGCGTGTTGTCTGTTAGTTGACGTTATACTGTCTGTTGGTAGAGGATTTAATATTGGGACTAGATGGCCTATTCCGATGCAACCGGCCTGTTGTCTTTTCTTCCTTGGATTCGGGTAGGACACTTGGGTGACACTGGCTGTCATTCTCAGTACCACGTCGCTGTAGTGTCACTGATGCTTGGGGCGTATTACAGCCTAGGTTTGCCGTCTCCTTATAGTTCGAGGTCTGCTTCCGCAGCATAGGATGTGTCCTGCCACTTAATCATTGGTCCCGTACCTCCGTTAAAGTACTAGGGGCAACTGTTCCTGGGAGTTGAATTTTACACTTAGCGGCATTTTGGAGCTATCATGTCTCACTCTTTAACTAGAACTCTCAACGATAGCTATTACTTGAGCCGGTAACAGTATTCTTTCAGCCTCTTCGGTAGAGCCCAATGTCACCCTTAATCAAGGTGGTTTACCTTGAGGTACCTGAACACCCTGTACAGGCTGCACAATTTTGCTGGATTGATGTTCACACCTAATTTATTTATTGAAACAGTGTACCCGATCAAACAGAGCAGTTTTTCAAGCAAGGCATCATTGCATACGGGTACGTTAGACAGGATTAAGGAATTCGACTGGCTGACCTCAGACTTAGGCTTGGTTTTTAGCTGCTTGTCCCCCTTTGTAGGGTCAGTCACTTTAGGATTCATCAAGTTCCGACAAGTCCCTGTTATGTTGGCATGCTTGCTAGAGGACGCAATTAGTGCTTTGGCAATTTCATGTTTTCCCCTGCTGTTCTAGGTGTAACCCTGGGTATCTTCAATTAATGGGGAAAGATATTTTCAGTCCTTTCGGCTGGAGTATCCATAGTACGGTTTTTCTGGTGTTATCAGACGGAGCCCTACATGAGACTGTGCCAGACCGACAGAGTGAGCAGATGTACTAGAAACACGGGCACGGGTTCTTAGCGTAAACTTATAGCATGGTCTTGGCACTCCTTTGTCGCAATGGCAGTGCACCCATTGTTTGCTAAAATTGCACTCGTAAGCTGAGTCGGTTTAAGAAACAACATTACTGCAGGCCTGGCATTCATCTCCCTTTCCAGAAGAACCTCTTTAAGTCTTATGACGCCTTGGAGCGTTTCTTCTTTGTATCTCTGTGTGCCACACACATACATAGGTGCTATATCGTGTTTATTTGGTTTTGCCTGGTAGTTTCAGTGTTGGACAGTGGCAATGTAGGCATGGTATCAGAGCAGAAGACATGTACACGGGTTTTAAGAAGAGGTATGAGAGATGGGGTCAATATCCCTGAGTTATTGCCTCCTCTGGCTGAAGCTCCTGTGAATACAGAGTATTGTGATAGTGTTTTTAAGGCTACTTTTAACCGCCATATTAACAATTACTACAACTTATGCTTATATATGAATACAAGATAGCAACAGTACCTACCCAACAGGACAAGAACAAAAAGATTGATAAAGTACCACATAGAGGAAATAAAAGGTTTTTGACTTTAAGTAGCACTTTCTGGTACTCAGGTTCACAGCAACTACGTGGCAGACCAACAAGTCCTGTTTGTCTGAACGAGTGAGGTAGATGCTGCTACAGATGTAGCACCTGAAGCTTTGACAGCTGGACTTACAACACAGATACTTGATATGGTAGTAATGGTTTAATTTAATTCATTAGCTAGGAAGATCAGGTTTTCCAAGCGGATGATTCATAAAACAGGCGTTTTCCGTTTAGAGAGGAGAAAGCACGTCATGTTCAAGGAGCGCGCGTAAGGTCACATATGCCAATATCGGCAGTTTAGTATTCTTACTTTTGACATTACATTTATATCGCGAAGCTTATAAAACGTCTGATGGTCTAGGTGTTTTTGAGAGGGATAGACGGTGAAATTTCCTTCAAATCTGCTAATTAGCGCAAGAACTCTACATTATTAAATTTCTTCAGCCCGTTCATCTTTCAAGGTCTTGTCAAGGCAAGAGTGAAGTGCGCTTAATCGAAATTACAAAGTCGGCTTCTCGGCTTTCGCGTAAATGTCTAACAAACGTCCTTCATTGACTGCTTCGAAAGGACCTAGCTCATTCAAAAAACCAAGGTAAGCTTCTTACTTCGTGTAAAGTTTTCCAAAGTAATTTAATTATCTACTGAATATAAATGGAATCGCTTCTGTACTAACTAATTTTCTCTTAGCTAGGAGATAGTGAATACAGTGATTACAACTTAGGAATTAGCAGAAATGCTGTAAAGTTAAAAAACGAGTCGTCTTATACAGATAAGTAGAACGATGGATAGATAAAAGGGTGACTTAGTCAGTTAAGAACTTGAGACACGTGTTCGTATGTTTAAAGTATGTGTTTAAATTTTAGTCGGTGTGACCAGGCAATCTCACATTATATCGCTGAGTGCATTGCAGATGTGTTGTCGAACTATTTCATGAAATATCGGAGTATACTAGCTTCTTCAATGTCCTTGGTCTATTAGAATCCTCGTTCTTGATGTGGACTGACAATCTTAGGTCGATTTGATTATACATCATTTACTGGTCAGTCCCTAGTTATATAATACATTCATCAAGTTAAAATAACGAGGTTATGATGTTTTCGGCATTATTGCGGAGGCATTGTTCCTCGTCCTCCTATCCTATATCCTCTAAGCTTCAGTCTTCATGGTGGACATCAAGTAGTGTTCACTAATAGTTAGGTTTAACTTCATCTAGGGTTTTCTGACTTTCTAAAGTATGTCTAGTAATGCAAAACAGGTTTTATTCATTTTATTCGTACCTTCTGTTTGAATTTAACTGAGTTTGAACTGTTTCATTTCTTCCATTCAGGGGCAATAATGATGAACCTCCAGAACCCTCAAAGTTTGAACAAGAGCTTATGCTATTGGATGATCTTGAGACTGAAGATATAGCTTTGGTGGATGAAAGTACAGCTATATCTCATTTAGATTTTCTAACAAATTCTCATTGGCCGAGACCTAACTTAAAACCACTTGACCCAAATAAAGACAGTATAATTTTTCAACAGTTTGATGTCTCACACTATAAAGTTAGTCGACTCTGTGTGTTCATTTTACTTATTACATCAATTTTCATTGTATTCTACTAATGATAAGAGAATTTTTGTTTTCAAGAGGATATGAAGTCTGGAAATGTCACTTTTGAGTGTTATACTCCTGTAATGTAAATATCTTTAAATGATGTATAGAGTAGTAATGGATTTACTGCTGTTATACTCATTATGTTTATAAAATGATAAGTCCTGTTTCTGCAAAAGTAACCAACAGACAACCAGTTGCTGAAACACTTTTGTGACAATTTTTAAGAATGCTTGATTTACCCTAGTTTTATTTTGCGATACACTTGATTTAGAAAGATATTTAGGAAGATAGATACACTGATTGGACAGATTGGGTTATGTGCATTGGTTTAGACACCCGAATTCTCAATGGTTGACCACAGGTCCGCACTTCAATCTATCTGTTCTGCATAAAAATGCACACGATTGTTGATCGACATCCCGTGTCTTTATTAACTAGGCGGTTTGTTACGTTTAAATATCTATTTATTTACTTTTTCATTGTTTAAAGACAAACTTATTGCAGTGTTGCACGACATGAAATAACATAACAAGGCAGTGGATCAGTGTCAGGAGCTGCGTTTCCCTTGTGCAGTGACCAAAGCAGCTCCATACACCATTCGGTCATTCCTGATTCTGGTATCCATATGCAACAGAGCTTTGGTATCAGGGTTTCCCAGATTCCCTAGGTACACCTGTATGCCTACCGGTCCGGTTGTAAGCTCCAGACACTCGCACTCACCCTTTCGCTTTTGTGAGGAACACCCGCTGTCACGTATGGGTAACGTATTCCATCAGTGTGGCAACGCAAGTCACCTCATCGTTACTGGATACTACTTCTTGAGGTGATTACTTGTCATCTGATTCCGGTCACTCAGAACTGTTAGGAAATGAACATCGTGAAAGTCTTTGAGACAAGATTGGCAACATATTCCCAAAGTGTTGATTCCAATACCATTGAGCGACTGGGTAGTATCATCAACCTTCATACACAAGTGTGTGGTTGGTTGCCTGTCCTAGGCAGCTGAGTTTGAACAAGCACCTATTGGTTCCCTTGGCCTAAAATGATATCATTTATTAGCGACAACTTCTATCCTGTTCGGATATGATCTACTTAACCTCAGAATTACTTACAGTGTCACTAATAGTTATAGGTCATCCTTACATAGATAACAGTAATCGAACACAGAATCATGTGATATTATTTTAGAGAAGCCGGGTTTTGGCCACATGGAGTACATGCAAAAAACATTGTAAACGGAATTTTCAATCTTCAGGCTTTGTGGAACTTCAGAAAATAGTATATGCATTCATAAAATCAATAAGTAAGTAAGTAAGCAAGCTATTCTTAGGGTTCAAAGATCAACAATACTAAAAGACTCCCCAAACATTCAGTGTTTGTAAGTGAAAAAAAATCAAGTTCCCTTCTTTGCATCACTAAGCAGGATTTATCTTCGATACTGATTTTTAGCAGTATTAATAATCACAACGAATTCTTCACAAAATGCCGACGAATTGGCGTATGCTAAAAATGAAATGTTCACAGTCAAATATAAAAATGTAGGGAGCATCTAGCTATGTACATTCTCAATTATAAATCTCCGCTGCTATCGAGGGAAATACACCAATAGCCAATTAATTTGGTCATAATAGTATAAAACTCCTCCATAAATCTTTTCAGATTCTAATTCTTTAGAGTCATCATGGGTTTATACCACTTAATAAATCTAGGATTAAATAATATCATAAAATCTTAGTAACATTAATAACTGTGTTTTCTTTTTGATTCACCATTGTCTCCTTTTTTTTAGGAAATTGATGACTTTTATTTTCAGGTATTCTCGTTATGTTACTAAAAAGAATAACAGTAACAGTAATACAATTTTTGTTTCACGATTTCTTGTTTAATTTAGTGTTGTCTTTTTATGTTGTCAGTCGTCCTTAATGTATTTTGTATAGTCACATATGTGCACATTGATGCTTGCAGTATTATGTAAATATTTTTCGATCCTGCTTGACACCCATTCTCCACTTATACATTAGTCGTTTCAGTCTTGTGTTTATAATATTGTACTGATGGAATGAGATGTGCTTCATTTGATTGATAACGACGCAGTAACTCACTGTTTGACATTCAAGTACTCTTACTGATGATCCAAAAACCCCATTATTCGCAATTCATTTGAATATAGCATGTTGCACATCATTTTTCCTCTTACTGTCACAAGCAATACTGCATATTGCCTTTTCATATTTGCATGTGTGTCTTGTATATCTGTTTGAAAACAATACTAAAGTGCACTGATTAGCATAACATTTAAAACATCCTACTTTGTGTATTCCATCTCATGCGTCATTCATCTGTTGAATGAATATGTTGAATGCACGCAGTATAACTGATCTAAGTGATACCTTATTGCGATCAGGTCATATCCCGGATCGGTGTTCTCTTTAAGTCAATATAATATGATGAAAGTTTTGTACTCTAAGAGTAAAGGTACTAAGTATTGAATGTTGTCTAACACAAAATATATCACTATTAAGAAACTGTCGGTTTTGGATAGTGTTACACTCATTCTGTCATTTATAGTTATAATAATGGAAGATATGAATGAATTCTTAGTTTATTTTAGAGGGGTGGAGGTTATATAGAAATATGTCAAGTAAAGATGTTGACATCTTGTAATTATTCGTTACACTTTAAACTCAAGAATAATGATATTTACCCGCCTATGGAATTGTGTGGGTAGTTATCTCCGCGTTTACCGACTTTGTAAAGGTTCATTTCTCTTAAGGGTACCTGAAACAAGCACCATTATTGTTGCGTGATAGCAGAGTCCATGCGACAACTGGGGATACGCATCCTTTTTGAGTTGATTTTTAGAGTTGTTTTCGTACTAACGTCTTATCACCGGCTGCAGAGAGTAGCAAAAGTGGGGTTGTACAACTTTTAGGACTGACATTTTTTAACCTCCAACCGTTTTCCAGAGTGGAGGGGGCATAGTTGACTCAGTGGTTATCTGAGGGAAATAGTTTACTGATTTTACATCCATATTCTCCTGCATTACGATCTCTCTTTCAGAGACCCAATATCATGTAAGAGATTAACACTTCAATAGTAATTGCTTTTAGTGTAATCTCTATCCAAACGAATTTTGTGGCATGTTAGGACTTTCAGAAACATTTATTTCAACCTGTGTAGTTCGTTGGGTCATTGTGATGTGGGAACCTGACCAGCACTTTATGGTCAGGGTCTCAGCTATCGGTCCAGCGTAAAATTAACAAAATTCGCTAACTCAAAATATTTTTTCTGTCTGAATTTATTGTTATATCTAAAAAAGATTCACCTACTTATTAGCACAAAGAATTACAATGTAAAAGTCTTATTTGTGGTATTCATGCATCGTCCATTGAGTTTTGATTTCATTATACATTACTCCGATTGTTACGCATGCATGTGCATAGTGTGCACAGTTCTACACATAGTAACAAGGAAGATTTATAGCTCACGTGGATGACTTTCACATGGTTGTGGTCTCTGAGCCGGATGGTTTAATTGCGAAACTTTTACCGCTTTTCTAGACAACATATTCAGCGCAGTCTTCATATTGGAAAACTCTTTACATAATATAATACAGATAGAATGCATAACATATAACTTCTAAATTAATATTGAACTTGGTTTAGAATAAATACGATGGTACTCACGTCAGTATAGTGGGAAAAAGTAAAGCGAAGGCTTATTACCATGTCTTATCAAGTTCTTCATGCACACGAAAGGTTGACTGCGCGTCATGATGACTGCCAGTAGATAATTAAATAATATCTAGGATTTTTTTATTCCTTTACGTTCCCAGTGAAATATAGGGCTTCGAACTAGAGGTTTGAAGTTTTGGTAGCAGTAGTGTTTATTTTTACGGAATGGGGTTGCTAGCCTCATACCCAACCTTCCCTCCTTACCAATCTTATTACTGACTTAGCGAGGTTAAGGAGTGTATCGGTGGCCGGAGATCGAACCCCGAACCACATGCTTGGTCGGCGAGCATTCTACCTCTGTGCCACCGACTCACAGTAGTTAGAAATAGGCTTTTTTATTCTCAATAGACCCTTGATCTGAATGACATCTTTTGATACCATTTAGTAGAAATAAATTCTATCGAATTCGAAATTCATGAGCCCATTGGATTCCAGCCCAAGTGACTAAATCGTTAACAAGCTTGGCCTCAAAGCATGAAGGTAGTGGGTTGGATCCCCGGTAGTTGGGCTCGCGGATCTGTACTACTGGAGATACCTGAACTAGGACAAGACTATCTAATTGACATTAATCCATGATAAGACTTGGAACAAATTCCACTATGTTTCCTCCTCTAGCACTCTTTAATCACTTTTCACTGCAGCGTAATTCTCACAGTATCTAGTATTGAAAAAACAATCAAACTTGAATCACTAATTTCTCTTACGTCATTTTTCTCGTTTAGGGTGAACGTTTGGCTGGTATGCCTGGAGCTGCACAAAGTCCTGTACCTATTATACGTTTATTTGGTGTCACTGAAAATGGTCATAGTGTTTGTGCACATGTACACGGTTTTGTACCGTACTTTTATGTTCCAGCACCTAAAGACTTTTCAATTAATTATTTAAATGATTTTCGTGAAGCATTAAACTCTGCTTTATTGAAAGAGAATAAAACAAAAGAATTTGAAGGATTACATCATCTTGTGCTTAGGGTAACATGCGAAGAAAAACAAAGTAAGTCATCATTAAATAGTCAATATTGAATGCTAATGTGTAATTGATGTGTGTGTGTGCATTTTATTCACCTGTCTGTCCCTTGGACATAACTGATTTATTTATTTATATAAACTTGGAAATCTGAATGCAAGTGCACCAGTTCAAGTTTTGTTTCGGAACTTAGTTATTCCGAACAGATTTTCCATGTACCAGACTGTGCAAGGACGGGTGATACTGCTCAGTTGCAAAGGCTAAAATAGGTGGGATGGGACTCGAAACCAGGACCCATTGGTTGTAAGTCGATTGCTTAAACCAATGTGCCATTTCTCCACACCAATTTAATTTTACACAATTTGATTCTCTGCATCTTGCTGAAGCTTCATTAAGCATAAATTCATTGTAGGTGGTTGATATTGATTTTTTTTATTATAGCTTGAAACCACACTTTATTTTTGGTACATGTATGGAATTTTCAGCATATGATATCGGTAGCCCAAATTTTGCAGGCCGACCATAGATATCAGTTGTGCATGGTCGGCGAGAGTCCTAACCTCTGTGCTACCGACGGACAGTCAGTAAATTGATTACCAAGCTTAATCGCTTCAAGTGTTGGTTTGCAGGGATTTGACTAGTGTGGTCACACCAGTTAGCGAGCCAAAAGGTCCTGGGTCCTAACCCTGGCAGGTTGTGTGCTGACGAAGAGTCCTAAACAAGGATGAAACGACTGTCCCCTGTCTCCCTGTTTTTCACCGGTTCACTAATTGATGTCAGCCGGTGATAAATTCCATTATGAGAAAAATTTATCATATCATATCACCTTGATATGATTATGAGCAATAAATCGTGCTCGAAACGTCATCAGTAAATATTACTGTATAACACTGTGAGACTTTATCAAAACAAAATTTACCCATAATGGAATTACAATCTACCACAGTGCACAAGTTTTATTCTTATAGGCGGTGATAAACTCTGTAATTGATCACTTCAGTTGGATATATTGTACACGGAGACTAGTAGTCTACTGGGTACAGTGTTTTGAATCCTTCCTTTTTTAACTTCATCAGGAACATATGGGTAGGATCATCAGCTGCCCGACAATAAGTGTAGCTCATAGTCTGCAATATGAATGATATGTTGTGGGGACTGCGTTCAAGGAAACTAGTATGCAAAATCACGTTATACGATAAACTAAGAAGTTACTATCAGTTTATTCAAAAGTAACAGCCTTTTTAACATTTGGGGTACACATAATATAGGTATGATGGAGTTTATATTAACTTTTTACACTCGCTGCGTAAAATGGTTCTTGAAATGATGTATCAAAGCTAGAAAACACTTGGGATTAGTTCATAAAGTCAGTAACTATAAGATGTAGGGCTAAATGACTAAGATTGAAGAACATGGTTAATCACCTTGAATGATGTTATTAAGGACAAATTAAAATCGAACTCTAATTCGTTCTAATTTTATATGCATCATTCGTCTATCCACTGTTATTCTACTTGGTTCAACAAGTTGGCAGAAACAGCAGAGACAAAATTTCAAGTGAACATAGAGGCGAGTTGAAGATAATTAACTAACAACAACAAAAAGCACCAGTCATTACCAGCTGGAGGAATTTGAAGGTCACTTCTTTCAATTATCTAGTCAGCATCGTTTCAATGACGAGCGGCATTCATGAGGATGTCAAAGACAGTCTGGGTCGGAAATGAAAGACGTAAACCTTCATTAATTCGAAATTATAGATAAAATCCCCATTTAGACATTTAGAAAGCCGAAAGACTGAGCGAAGAAATATTTACATTTCAGTTAGATCTTCACCTCACTCTGGCTCTACTCTAATATACACGTATAGCATTTTTATTACAAAACACAACCAATTAAGTGGTGATATGTTTGTTAACAATAATTAGTTAGTGTCAACATGTCAATGGGGTGATAATTACCGAAGAAAATCAATACACACAATTAAAAGGTAGAAATGGTTAGAATAAATTAATTTTACAAGGATAACATGTAATTAAAGATAAAGTGGTGAGAACAAATAATTTAGACAATTATAATTTTTTTAATTTTAAAGGTTTAGGGGACCGAGTAGTCCCGTTTACACATTCATGTAACGATGGCCAAGGCAAGAAAAGTGGCTGCACAAATTTCTTCTGAACACACAGGTTCATCTTCTTCAGGTGGATTCCTATTGCACACACCTTGTAGATAGTGAGCATAAGGTTGACGTTAGTACAGCATTTATTTATCGCATTCCTACTAACCTTAATTTTGCTCTACGAGTTCGTCTTCTACATACAGCTGAAGTAATAGGAATCCATCTGAAGAAGCCAAGCCTGTGTGTTCAGAAGAAATTTGTACAGCCACTTTCTTTACCTTGGCCATCGTTACATGAATGTGTAAACTGGACTACTTCCCCCCCTCCCCCTAAACATTTAAAAATTATAATTGTCCAAATTATTTTAATTTTATTTATTTTGACCACTTTATCTTTAATTACGTGTTATCCTTGTAAAATTAGTTTATTCTAACCATTTCTACCTTTTAAATGTGTATTGATTTTCTTCGGTAATTATCAAGCCATTGACATTTTGACACTGACTAATTATTGTTAACAAGCATATCAGTGCCACTTGATTGGTAAACTGTTGTGTATTGTAATAAAAATGCTATACGTGTATATTAGAGTAGAGCCAGAGTGAGGTGAAGATCTAATTGAAAAGTAAATATTTCTTCGCTCAATCTTTCTGTTTTCTAAATTTGAAATTAGTATGAAAATCTGCTGCACTCAGCATGAGAAACAAAACTAAGATTTTAAACACTGATGTTAAGTCAGTTCTTCAAAATGGGTCAGGGACTTGGCGCGTTACTCAAAGTATTCGCAATAGGCTGCAAATTTTCGCCAACAACTACCTTCGGTCCATACTGAAGATAAGATTGCCGGACAGAAAGAATTAGCAGTAAGGAAATCCGACAACGGGCCAACCAAGAGTCTTTTGCTCGAATAATAATAAAAATAATGGTGACCAGGTTTTACATCACTAAACATGGAGATAATCCCTTGATGGTTGGTGCTGGGTAATATTGTGACAAGATATCAGGTAGCCTGTTATTGACACTAAGCTTTGTTGTGTAGGGCTGTTTATGGGATGGTTATTGAGAAGACATTAATTATTATATTATTGAATTATAGGCCACCTTTGAAAATATTTGTCAAGTCTTCCCCTCATCTAGTCATACATAGTAGTCTGTCTTTTCTATACCTAGTTTATTAACGTTTATCGCCAGCCTATTAGTAGTTCAGTGTATATTCTGACTAGCTTTTATTTCTGTGAAAGTAAAATCAGTTCACCCTTTTTCTACGTTCATAGTTACTTAGAAGAAAACATCTAAATGCTCATAAAGCCTAAGTTATTATATATGAAAATGTTTATATCCGAAGGAATCAGTTACCATGGAAGTAAAAGCGTTTAAAGTCGGTTTGAAGCAAGCTGTATATAGTACACTGCAGTGATCAACCCTAATTTCTTTATATTCTCCTGTTAAATGTTCAATTTACTGAATTTTGCTGAGAAATCTACATAAATTTAATTTCTGCCTGTTTTCGACATAGAACTTTGCACCGATGTGCAGCAGTTCAAGTCGCCACACTCCATGTAGCACACAAAACAAGAGAAGAAAGTAGAAGAAATGCATAATAGAGACAGTAGACAGAGGTGTGAGACAAAGGAATAGTAATAACGGAGAACAATGTAGTTTCATTGGAAATCATAAGTCACAAGCAGTGGATGCATCTGCGCCAGCCATTGAGAACAATTTTGAGCGATATCACCAATTGTCTCCGGCCACTGGTTTTTACCGTCCCGAGAACCCCTACCAGTCAGGAAATTTGCACCTCCCTACGTGGCTGGCTGAAAATAACTGTTGTGGATTTCATTGACTGATGCCATGTTTTCGTTTGACTACCACTGTTTTTCTTTTCCAACCTGACCCTATATAAGTTAACATTGCCCGTCGAGGAAGGCGATGGCTAGGCATACATGCGTAACACATGTCCTAATCATCTCAGTCGATGTAATTTCACAGCCTCGTCGATTGATTTCCCCTCCTTGCCTAGCACTCGACCAAAACCTCAACCTCAATATTGCTCACCTTATTATACCACTTAACGCGGGATACAGAACGCTGGCACCTATAATCGAAGACAGCTGATCTTTTCATGTCTTCCACTCTCAATGGCCAGGTCTCACAGCCATGAAGGAGATATCGTAAGACATGGTATAGTAAAATAATAGTGACCAGAGTTATAAATACACTTTAAATAAGATTTAATAGTGTGAAATATTCCCATATCATGAAGTAAAAGTCAATCTGAACGAAGAATATTCTTTTCAATAATTTCTCCTCTTCATGTCCTTACAATTATAAAATGTAATATTTATTGTCGTTACAATAATGGCCAGTTATGCGGCAGATATATTTTTAACGTAGAATAACAGATTAGTTATGGGGTGTTAGAATAAATAGTCGTATTTGTGTGACAAACGTACTAGGCTGAGATCGATTACAAAATATTGTAAAATGGGAGACAATGGTGGTGATTAGTCATAATAGATTTGTAGAGTGTGGGGTAGGAAAACTGACAAGTTAGTTCAAGGTTATAAAAGGTGTCAGGTGAGTGAGTGGCTGGTACAAAGTGGTATACATTAAACAGGAAATAGTAAGACTGCAATGAGTTCATCATGAAATAACGAATGTGTGAAATGAAACATGTGGAGGCATATATTGAGAGAAAAGATAATATCACTAATAATAAGTTCGGATAGTATAAAATAGAAATTCGATATTATTGAGATAATGTTTGAATGAAAGGCATAAATTATGACGAATAATAATAATAATTGTAATAATAAGCAAGGAGAAAAAAACCAAGAGGTTTAAGGGGAAGAAGCACTCTTGGTGAGAAGAAGAATCACCAATCCAAGTTTGGCCACGGTAGGAACAGCCAACAACAACAAATAATATATTTTATTATTGTAAGAACCTGAAGAGGAGAAATTATTGAAAAGAATATTCTTCGTTCGGATTGACATTTTAAATAGTTCGCAGTCGTACATTATTAATTTGAAGAAAAAAACTATGTGGAGCTTCTGCTCATTGGTCTAAGCACTCCACTTCCAACCACCGGGCCACGGGTTCGAAACCCTGTCGTCCACTGAGGTTTGGGACCTCATACAATAGGTGTGGCTCATTGTCAACTGCATGAAATTGCAAGTGATTGTTGAATACCATAATGCACAGAAGTGTGCAAAAACTTATCGGTTGAAACATAAAATGATCATGGATCTCGAAGGATGTTGCTTGGTTCAGTTTTTTTGAAGGGTTTAAATCTGTTCATCTTAATGTCTTAGTATTAATGATTTCACCTACTCACTAGATGAAAGATGTGTTTTAAGGCTAGTTATTAAACACTTTTAACATCCTTATCCTTAACTAGCAATACTCAGTCTTCACAGCTATGTGTAACGATAGAAGACATGGGCCAGGCAACAGATCCTTTATTGAGGAAATCAACAGATATTTATAGATTTTTATGTAAATTATTATTCGTTATTATAAGCAGAGAAACAGCGTCTTCAGATTGGTTGTTTTCTCACTGGAAATTATTCTGTCATCTCTTTGTGGCCATTTCTTTGAAGGTCAGACCATATATCTGCGAATCGTATCCGCCCACTCAAAGTCTGCTGTGATTGTTTGTTGAGTTAGTCTTTGTTCTTGTTTTTTCTCATGACCAAGATTTGGGACGTAAACACTGTCGTAAATTGCTGTCTACCAATTTTGGCTAACAGACAGCTCTCACCATATATGTAATTGAGCCGGGTTCATGGTTGCTCTTGTATATACATCTTTCTTATTGAATTCACTTTAGTTCAACTTAGCAGTAGGAATTAATTGATACTATAGTCTCTATTGTTACTGTTATCATTATAACTATTGCCTTTGTGACATAATTTGATCATATGCATTTATATTTTAGATGTATATGGTTTTCATGGTAATCGTAGTATACCATTTCTACGTATAACTATGGCATTACCACGTTTAATTGCACCAGCTAAACGGATATTAGATAATGGTTTAGCGTTTGCTAACTATCCACTACAGGTTAGTTTTAAAGTTAACTATAAATTTAACTATATACCTTTACTTGAATAATAGTAGAAATCTTTTATGTCATAAGAATATTTGTGTTTTATTTAACGAGCTATATATATATATATATATATATATATATATAGTTTGTCAGTGGTTCCAGTGATAGAATAATCGATAACCATATTCATGGTTCGGATTCGATTCTCGGCTGACTCACTGCTAAACCTCTCCTTGCCGGTAGTAACCCCTGTAAAGAGGGGTGAAGCTAGCAACCCCACCCAGTGAAAACAACATCGAAGCTACTGGGATTTTAAAGACTAAATCTGAAAGTCCCCTACTTTCCACTTGCAACTCAAAGGGATGAAAAAAAGAAGGTAATATCTTAACATTAAGTCATGAAATTTAAAAAAAGTTAGCGGGGGAAGAGATAGAATCATTTCTTAGGGAAAACTGTCGTAACTATGAAGAATATATTAAAGATAACATTTAACCCCGTACATCTGTGACTCATTGGTAGAATAACTCGCCAGCCATGCGAGAGGTGGTCTGGTTTCAATTGCCGGCCGACCGACGCACGCCTAAACCTCGACAAACTGTGTCAGTAAACCTGGAAAAAAGGGAAAGTTTGGGCGTGAAGGGCTATGGACACCGTTGCTACTGAAATCTGAAAGCTTGATGACCTATGTGTGTTCCACTTGGACCTCAAAGGAGTGAGAAGAAAAATCGATTCACATGCTACAATCTCCATGAGATAACTTGAGATATTCAATATTATGGTTCAAAATTCAGTCTGTCAGATTTATCTGTCGCCTCATTTCTCGGCTGTTTTAACAAAAATGTCTCATTAAACCATTATCAAATCTACTGATGTTGAAGAATCCCGATAAACTGTCACATAATTGTATCAGTTTTGTAGTTGCATTGCACATCTGAATGATTTTACAAGAAGGTGAATACACTAAAACGCTGTTTTGTTTTTTCTTTTGTCTTCTTCTTTTTCTGTTTATTTTGTCTCAATGAACCCAGTCATATCCAGCTTTTGAAGCAAACATTGACTTTGAAATACGCTTTATGACGGATACCCTAATGACTGGATGCAGCTGGGTTGAAGCTCCTGCTTGTAAATATAAACTAAGAGATTCTACACAAAAAACAGAAGATGATATTAAAACGTCGAACAAAAAATTAAACCATTCTGTAAACAATACTACTACTGCTACTACTAATAGTAGTAGTAGTAGTGGTCAAACAAGATGTCAAATTGAATTTGATATTGCCTGGGATGCTTTAGTTATTCATTCACCTGAAGGCCAGTGGAGTAATATTGCCCCGCTACGTGTATTAAGCTTTGATATTGAATGCGCAAGTCGTAAAGGTAAGTAAGTATCATGGGTGGTATATGTAAATATATGGTAAATTGTTGTTTTTTCTTGTACTCTTCACCTTTTCATACATATCGACTTTTTGCTGAATGTGTCTTACTTCCTCATTTTTTTGAAAAAAAAAATACAGCCAGAGTAAATCTGTGAATGGCTTTAATCATCTAGTGGTGACTAGCAGCTTCATCTATTTATTCAACATTGAAATCATCCAATTTAAAAATATTTTTGCATCCGAAAGTGGTGTTGGTGTTTTCCACGAGTCTTAAAAAATATGATCGCGTGAGATGAAAAGTAACTAATCAGACGTATGAACAACTGTTGAAGTTTATTTTGTATTTCCCGTTCATTGATTGTATTGGAGCGAAATGTTCAACCTCAGTTAATATGTCAACTCTTAGTGTATGGACATTGACGATTTCTGAGGATTAACACGATGTTATTTGTTAGATGGTGTCTAGTAATGGAATCCGTGGTGCCCGATTTGGAATCTTAGAGTAAAGTAGTAATTCACAGTAGATCGCGTGACATGATATTGTCTGACCTGAAGATCAAACTACAATCCCTTATGACATTTCTTTGTCTCTTTTGAGAAATGCACAACATTTGGTTGAAAGCATTTGGTTCTAGTGAGATGTCGTGACCAGTAGGGTGCAGCAGCAGGTCAGGTGTGAGGACAAATACTCGCCGAAGACATTGGCCAGCGGTCGGGCTATTTCATGAATTGGCAGAAGTTGGAATTCATGGGTCATTGGATCGGGTCTACGAGATTACTCGCCTTAAAACCAAAAGGTCCTGGGTTCGAACCCCAACCGGTGGATGCATACTGATGAAGAGTCCCAAACTAGGATGATACAGCTGTCCAGTACTCTCAGTTTTTCCAATGGTTCTCTAAGTGATGTCAGCTCATGATGAAATCTTGTAGCCAAACAATCAAATCCCTATAAACCATTACTTAAAAATTTCCATTGAGTCATATAAAAGGAAAGACGTTTAATGGAGAGTTACTCTTTTCGGCGATATCATTCTCAAGCTGTACAATCGCATAGCAACAAAAGAAGTATTCATGAATAATCCCCATTCAGACATCAATAAAAACAAAACAAGTAGTTCAGCGAATAGTATCGTTTCGGCGGTGAATTCATTCACATAGCTGTACAATCGCAATTATATATACTTATTTTTATATATGTGTGTACATTAAGTTTGTCCGATAAGAATAAAAATAAGTTAGGGTTATTGTTGTCAAGGCATTTAAAAAAATGTGATGAACCATGAAACTAAACATCTCGTCAATACTGGTCATTCCATCTCAACAAATGCCTCCTTCAAAGTGATCTACAAAGTGAAGAACAGCCTATCAAAGACAATACGCTTTCTGAAGCCTTAACCATTCAGTTGGAAAAACTAGAGTTATGTATACAAAAGGAAATCATCCAACCACTTCTACTGTCATGGTAGCAACCGTGTTGACTTCTATTGACTTGATGTTTTTTTCTAACTCCTTACAACATTTTTAATTCATAGAACTCTCACATAGTTCCATATTTTCCCTTTTTCTTTCTATGTGCATCCTAATCACAACTCATTCATTAAACTATTCATCTTATTACGTAACTGTATTACGCTTATTCAACTTTTTTATGTGTGAATAAATATGTTTTTTGACAACGCATCACCACTGCCCTCTTACCAATCTCCACGCCCGCCCTAGTTATGATTTAATTGTTCATCACATTTTTGAAATGTCCTGATAACAATAACCCTAACTTATTTTTATTCTTTTCGGACAAACCTAATGTACACACAGAAAAATAAGTATATATAATTGCAATAAGAAGACGTAATTTGTCTGAATCGTGTAGTGTGTATTTGCACAACACATTTCGAACAATCTGATCTGTCACACACGGACTTGTCATAGGAATATATATATGAAATTAATAAAGAGTTAAGAGGTGAGAAAATGGACTTAGGTCAAGTTAAAAGGACATATTGAAGGTCAAAATAACAACGAAGACCACTAAACAAAATAACAGAGGTAATAGTACATCTGCAATGGTATCAAAAAAATTTACCAAGGAAGGTTTAATGTGATGACGAATTATTGCTTTGAACGCATAAAGGTGGTTTAAACTTTCTAATTGCCAGCTGGGGCTTCCACAAACTTAAGGATAAACCTCAAACACGTTTTATGGATGGATAGGTTTAAAAGATGTGTTGACGTCAATTTTATGCCCTGTCTCAATGATATGTTTCTCAATAGAAGAGCTAGGTCTTCTGTTCTCACCATTAATGGCTTCTGAAGATTCCATATGTTTCTGGAACCATTTAGGAATGTGCTCACGATTCAGACAAATCACGTCTTCTTATTGCTTTATATATATATATATATATATATATATATATATATATAATTGCGATTGTACAGCTAAGTGAAAGAATTCACCGCCGAAAAGGTGACTCTTTGCTGAACTACGTGTTTTGTTTTCATTAAAGGAAATATTTCCGAAGGTGTGTCATCAGAATTGTAAATATTCTTTTATATAAGAAATTGCGTAATACAAAAGGCGTTAATGGGGTAGAGAATAAAATTAAATCAAATAAGTAAATTGAGTGACGTAATATAATTGGTGGAATTGAGTAGAATTCAACTAAAATTGAACGATAGTCAAGTTAACAACAGTGGTAATAAGGGGTAGAAATTTAATAAGAGGCGGGAGAAGAAGATAATGCAATTAGAAAATAACAAAATTACGTATTGTGTGTTAAGACGACAGATCAGGTCCACTGTAGATTTAATGACTGAACAAACTTCTTCTGTATGCAAAGTTTTAGATTTAACATGTGAATCACAATTCACATTTGTTTTCTAAAAAAATATTTACAATTCTAATGACACATCTTTGAAAGATTCTTTTTGTTACTAAAATTATTTTCTATATTTTCGATTGGACACTAGTCAGTAACTAGTGTAATGTGTCTAGTCCTATCTTCGGTGCAGACTGAATTCTATCAGTCAAGCATGCAATGTGGCCACCATGCTAGGTGGCTCGCCGTCACGGTGCACTGTGAATTGTTGGTAATAGATGGTTGGAGGCAGTCGGCAGGAAGCCGTGATCAACTCGTAAAAACAAATCTAATCCTTACAAACCAACTATAGAAAATTAATCTGATGCTCGCTAGTGACTTGCTACAGAACAGAGTCTCCTAGAGTTCTAGTGAGAAGTCGTGACCAGTGAGGTCCATCCAGTCAAGTGTGAGGATAGATATCCTACTGACGACATTGGTTGAGGTCGCGCTAAATCACGAATTGGTAGAAGTTAGAATTCATCGACTGGCCATTGAATCGGGTCCCAGTGGCTGAGTGGTATACGAGCTTACCTTGTAACCGCAAGGTCCTGGGTTCGAACCCCTTGTGGGGTGGGTGCGTACTGACGATGATTCCCAAACTAGGATGGAACAGCTGTCCAGTGCTGGTATTCAATGGTTCTCTAACTCATATCAATCCTTGATCAACTCGTAAAAACTAAAAGAATTTACCATATATATGCGATTGTACAGCTTGAGAATGATATCACTGAAAAGAATAACCTCTTCGTTGAACGTCTTTTCTTCTATTTGGTTCAAAGCCAATTTTTAAAAAATGCAGGAGTACATTTAGAGACCCAAGGGCACAACTATGAATGAGTAAACACTTCAGGTAGTTTTAGTTTTCAGGCAGTAGCAGTTTGTCCTAAAAATCTCAGAAACAGTTTTCTTATGTATTGGAACACTTTGCCATCCACGATTTTGCTTTTTCGCAAATTTAGCAGAACTTTTCGAATCAGCATGTTGCAAACATTTTAAAATACTCAAGAGAGTAAACAACACCATTAGAGATCATATTTTAGTAGATTAAAACAGGGTGAACAGAAGAAATAATATGCAGTATAATGATGGAGGTTTTTGGTAGCGCAAGTTTTGAGCAGGCTGTTTCATTTGCAGTAATTTGTTGTGTTCCCACTGAAACTGGAACCCATCATCGCCCATTGTTTCAAACGCCAAGCCATTCGGGCCATGAGAGCCACATCTTGCGCAATAGATATCAATTATTTGTTTAATTTGACATGTCGGTCCCTATTACAGATGCTTCGACGATGTCTCAGGATTATTACGGTGTTGTTCGGTGGATGTTGACTAGCATCTTCGATACCACTACTAGCCACAATCCACCTAATAATATTCTTGTCTCTTTAGACAATAATTAAACATAACCATGGAGTCGTCTAAATCGATGCACTATGTAAAATGAAGGAATCATGTTAGATCCAACAAGAAACATTAAGACAAATAAGGGATACTTGATGTTATAATTAAGATAAAGATTTCATGCAGCTGCATCCGTACCACGACGATCGATTCTTGGTTATATCACATAGAGTCTGTAACCATAGTTTCCGGATATCTTGTCTACCCTTCCATGTATCGCTCAGGTCAACAGTCAAGGACTTCAATGATCGGTGTATTGTCTTGGTCTGTCCGAGATTTACTTCCTTTAAATATAGTCGAATTCCGCCGACTTTCACTTTGGGATAGATAGTAAGTAGACATTTCCAACACATGACTTGCCCACTCCACTTGACGGTTATAACATCCTCAAGGGATTTGTCTTTATTACTTCAATTTCTTGGCTGGTAGTTCCCTGCACGTTTCGTCTTCTGGGTGACTTGTCAGCTAGGTGTACTTGCGTTCCCATTGGTTGATGGTGTTCTCATTGAGACTTGAGCTCAGTACTCATCGTTTCAAACTCCACTTGACCACTTCGACCATGAAGGCAGACACACCCGCATGACGAGCCCCAACTAGGGCGAAACGCACATCCTGGATTCCACTGCTAGTTAGCGTCAACTAAAATAATTTAAAATGTCCTTTATTTTCACCCATTCATAGTAAATTTTATTTGTGAAGCTTATTTCGATACACTCAAGATTGATGCATTAGGTCAGGCTCATTTTAACCACACACACACACACAAGTAATAAGTTTGCTTACTATAATGTATTCATAATGTCTTTCCGTCATATTTTTCATTACTTCCTACTCTCGATTTCTATTTAATCAAGGTGTATTTCCTGTACCAGAAAAAGATCCAGTTATACAAATAGCTAACATGGTTACTAACTATGGTGAAACAACACCATTTATACGTAATGTATTTACACTGAACACATGTGCACCGATTGTTGGTTCTCAGGTGATATGTCATCAAACTGAACAGGAATTACTGGCTGTGAGTGTTAATTCCATTGTGTATAACTCGTAATTTTTTGTATGTTTAATGAAGAATCAATTGGATGATAACACCTTGAGTAGAAATCTTGGAATGTTTGGCATCCGGTTGAATGTAAGCTGAGACTGCAGGACTGCTCTGCACTGACTCTTAGTTCAAAAAGTGAGGGTGTATCTACCGTAATGGACTGATTTTTGAAGAAATCTCAGCACGGATACAAAGGGTTTGTGAGGCATTCGCTAACTTCCGTGTTGTCAGGCTATAGATCAAAGGATGTATGCACTGTGCAGCACCTCGCTGTATCCTTCTGTATGGCTAAGACATTAGTCACTGAAAGTGGAAGATGTGAAGAGACTAGCTGCTTACGACTACAGGTGTTTGCGTTTTATCTTCCTTATCTGCTAGTGTAATACGGTAAGTAATATGGAGTTGAGGAATAGAATGCTAGGAGGTAAAGAGAGGAAGGCAATTGATGAAGTTCTGAAGCTACATCGGTTGAGATGGCCCAAGACACGTGTTACTCATACCAGCCAATCGCCTTCCTTGTCGAGTAATGTTAACTGACATAGAATTAGTTTGGAAATGGATTAGGGGTAGTAAATCAAATCCTGAGACCAGCCCATGAAGTCTTTCACAGTACGTTTGAGCCAGCCACGTAGAGGTTGGGGTGGGCGAAGATTACCTGATTGGGCTCCTCGAGACCTTTTGAGTCAGTGGCACAGATGCATCCATTCTTTTTAATCTCCCAGATCTATTATGTCTTCATGTTTTTTTTCTATGTGACAATTCTTTATACCGTTCGCTATAGTTTTTTTGAATTTTTGTTCTTTATCTATTTCTGCTATGTAGAGTGTGGTAACTTGAAGTGATGCACTTTTGTGCAAAGTTCTATGTTAAAAACTTAGTCAATTTCATTTGTAAATAATTGTCCTCATATAGAACATGGTCGATTCCTCTGGACACGACTTTTCACTAGTTGCTAATCCGCACTGAATTATTACTTATTCTCATAACAGCTTTCCTTCTAAATGGAAGTAATGCGTTAGGGTCAATTAAATTATCCAACTACAGCAATTTAGAAAAATCTAGATTAGTTGAACCTAATTAGATAAGAAATCTGGAAGATGATAGCTCAGTTGTAGCGCAGTTACACACAACCATATATTAGGATGAGAGAGGATGACAGTGTTCACATCTAACATAACAGGATGGAGGAAGAAATTGATAACTGACGGTTAACTTATCAAATCGACTGAGAATACATGCAGTAGGAATGATTCAGCACACTTGTTCTAGGCATCTGGAACATTCTACTACCCCTACGACAAATGGGAAGGAAGAAAGAGAACTGAGATTCAGGTTTTGAAGTGGTGTATTTTATAATTGACTGTGACATGATTATGAACAATAAATAATTTGTGTTCGAAACTTCGGCATCCAGTAAACTGTACTGCCCCACTGTGTTTAATATATATGTATCCAATAAACAAATTAATATGGAGTTTCATACTATCGTAGTGTCCAAGTTTTGCATATATATATATATATATACTTCAATTGTTCCCATTATTTATCGATTTCTCCGCTGGATTTGCTTTTTTGTAAGTCAAATGTTGAATTAAATCAAACTAATTTCAGTTTCTCTATTAAATTCCTACTTTGTTTTCTTTATTATTATTATTAATTTTTTTGAATAATTCATACAGAATTGGGCAATGTTTGTGCGTGAAATTGATCCAGACATTATAACTGGTTATAATATACAAAATTTTGATTTACCCTATCTTATTAATCGAGCTAACACTTTAAAAGTTGATAGTTTTGCATTTCTTGGTCGTATACGTGGTGCACGGTCCACTGTACGTGAAGCAATGGTACAATCAAAACAAATGGGTCGTAGAGAGAATAAATTTGTAAATATTGATGGACGTGTACAATTAGATTTATTACAGGTAAATATTTGTGTGTTAAAACATTCTGTTAAACGTAAATGAAAGTTATTTGTCTTCAGGATTCATGCTTGTTTTCGGTTCCGTTTATTGAATGCATAAAACACTAGTTGATTCTTCTATTTCAATTGTTAGATTTCTCCACAAACCCAGCATCAGTTAGGGAGATCATCAGAGCACTGTAGATAGCTGTTTCGTCCCAGTTTGGAACTCTTCAGTAGCTCACACCTGCAACTACCCACCTGGGATCGAACCCTGAGACCCTCGGGTTAGAGGCCCGATTATGTGAACCATTCCAACTTTGTCAATTCATGATATAAGGCTACTCTCACCAGTGCCTTCTTTTACTGTTGTCATCCATAGGCATTCGTTGCTTTTTCTATTCACTAGTTTCAATTGTTATTACTTCTTGTTATTTGTAAAGAAGTATAAAGATTAAGTTTGAGATGTAAATTTGGTTCGTGTTCTGATTCAAAGTAGAGACCTGCGTCTCTGAGTTCAGGGAAGTTAAATGTTAGACACGCCTCAACAACGATGTTGGAACTCTCAGTCAAAGCGAAGCAGTGAAACCAGGCAAATAACGTTGTATTCATAAGCTGTAAACATATTAAACAGGATGTCCGATTAGCTTTGGGTTTTGTTAGGAAAAGATCATGGTTAAGTTTGGGTTAAGGGGACAGGTCAGAGTTAGGTTAACCTAATTAGGGAATTGTTAGCGTTAGCCAGGCATATATTATGATTAGGTTGGGCATGTATTAAGGTTAGGACCAAGTTAATGATAGATTAGGGTTAAGTTAGTTTCAGGCGAAGAATGATGCTCTTGGAAGTGTGTGGGGGGTATTTACTTCCCGGCTTGCCACACCGTGGAAGTTGGTTGATTCTTCGGGTATCTGGAACAGAAAGAGGGTTAGTGTTGCGTGACTGCAGAGCCCAGGGGACAACTGCTTGAGGCCCGTCACACACAGCCTGTATGAACTGGTTTCTTGGTTTGGTTCCGTATTAGTAAACTTACTGCCGTTTACGGACCACCGTAGGGTAAGTCGGGATGTACTATTGTTGGGGTCTACCTTTTTCAGGCGAAGGAAAGGATTAGGGTTAGGGACCTGAATTAGATTTCTAGCGCAATCACTCGTTCCAAAGTCATTGGTGCGTTCTCGCCTTTAGGGTGTCTAAAGTTTAAATTTACTCTGATTCCTTCTGTAACCCATGTTTTTATGCCTTAATTTCGTTCATTATCCCTGGCAAACATTTAGACTACCTAGCGTAATGACTTAGTTGTTTTTATTGTCTTTCTGCGTATATACCAGGTGGATGCACAGATTGTATTCTTTTATGATTGTTACTATTCATTCCTTAAGTTCCAAGTAGAGCATACGGCTTCAGTAGGACATCTCCACTCCATTCTCTTCTCTGTCATCATTTTCAGCTGGCACTACAACTGTCCAGAAGTTTTCATCTCTTCCTCACATGATCTTGTCCATGTCATCTTCGGATGCCCAACTCATCGTCTGCTTCCTATTTGGATTCCACTTGAGGGCCTGTCTGACGTGTGATGTCCCTTGAATGTCCCCTCATCGTATATCCAATATATGTCTCCATCCCCTTATGCAAATTTATTGGGCAATAGGTTCTTAGCTGGTTCGCTGCCTGTCAGACTTCTTTGTTGTGCTTATTCTTTCTGACCAGCCGACTGTCTGATCTTCAGTAGTGTTAAAAAAGATCAACATCTATGGAAAGTTATCGACATGATTGTCATTGAATACAATTATATTTAATCTACTTTGTGTATGAGGAATAATTAAACTCTATGAGGAATGGCCTGTTCGGGTTGTATGCTATATTGATATATGAAAATGATACTGAATAGGTTGGAGTATGCTTACAGTATATCAAAGTGAGTAGCGTCATAATATATAACATAGCTGATCATTAATACAACATGAAACGGTAAAGTCTAGTACCTTTAAGCAAAAAATTAATATATTCATATGGTTTAACTTTTCAGTTTAGATAAATCTTATAACACCAAAGGTGTAACAAACTATATAAATTAATTATACAGGCAGGATAAAATTTCTGGCCATATGCAGTAACACAGATTGTCTTCTTCTCTGATCCACCGTCGAACAAGGTAAACCTCCCCTCTTTCCCACATATACTACTGCCTAGACAGGGTATCGGTCTGTTTCAGGTGGGAATCGAATCCTGACCATATGCGTGAGCATTGTAGATTTGTGATGACAGCTGTCTGTTAGCCAAATTGGTAGACAGCAATTAACGTTAATGTTTACGTCCCAAGTCTTGGTCATGAAAAAAAACACAAGAACAAAAACTAACTCAACAACCAATCACAACAGACTTTGCGTGGGCGGATACGATTCACAGATATATGGTCTGACCTTCAAAGAAACGGTCACAAAGAGATGACAGAATAACTTTCATCCAGAAAACAACCAATCAGAAGACGCTGTTTTTCTGCTAATATTAATGTGCATAAAAATCTATAAATATCTGTTGATTTCCTCAATAGAGGATCTGTTGCTTGGCCTTTGTCTTCTGTTGTTACAGATTTAGTTTAAAAGACAAATTATGAGAGGCTGAATGACATGATTGTATAGTGTCCTTACAGACAGATGACATTGTTTTTCGTATCACATTATCAAATCGTTGGAAAGACACTTTTTCCTTTCTGTTCTCATCGTATCAACTACATTAAACAGTCATATTATAATTGCATTTTTTGTTGTTTTTGTTGTTGTAGATATTATTCCGTGATTATAAATTACGCAGTTATACACTGAATGCTGTTAGTTATCATTTTCTTGAAGAACAAAAAGAAGATGTGCATCACAATGTGATAACAGATTTACAAAATGGTGATTCACAGACACGAAGACGTTTAGCTGTTTATTGTCTGAAAGACGCCTATTTACCATTACGTTTATTAGATAAACTAATGTGTATTGTAAATAATATTGAAATGGCACGTGTTACAGGTGTACCGTTAACCTATCTCCTAACTAGAGGTCAACAAGTAAAGGTTAGTATCCGGTGTTGTTTCTTTTTTTCTTTTTGTCTTGTACTTTTCACTGTTAAAAGATTTGTTTTCTTTAATAATTTAATAATTCACATTGTGGTGAGAGCTGTCTACTAGCCTAAATTGGTAGACAGTATGTTACGTCAATGTGTACGTCCCCAATATTGGTCGTGAGAAAAATAAGAACAAAGACTGATTCAACAACCAGTCAGAGCAGACTTTGCGTAGGCGGATACAATTTGCAGATAGATAATGTGAACTTCAATAAACGGCCACAAATGGATGAAAGATTGACGTTCAGCGAGAAACCACCAATCAGAAGACTGTGTTTGTCTGCTCACAATAATCTACAATAATGTACATGAAAATCGATAAATATCTGTTGATTTCCTAAACAAACGATATGTTGCCTGGCACTTGCATTCTGTTGTTACATTTGGTGTCGCTGCCTACCGACAAATGGAGAGCCTGTGCCCTGCAGCTTTCGATGGAGACATATGGATCTTCGAGCAGGACTTCGAGGCTTCTGCGCAGTTGAGTGGCATTCCAGATCTGTTCGCGATGAGGCTGTTACTTGGGACGCTGCTGGGAGGTCGGGAGAAAGCAGCATATGAAAGTGTGAGGCGAAATACCGACGAATGTGCGACAGGGTCAGGCAAACAGTTTCCAAAGTGGGAAGGACCACATAGGGTCACTTTGAGATGGGGTCACGCAGACACAATCGCAATGGTAAACAAAGAGAAACAGGTGAACATCAGCGAGCAACGAGATTCCAGACAGCAAGACAAACGAACAAAGCCCCTGAAAACAAAGAAGACCGAACCAACTTCAGTCGAAAGTCTTTGACGGCGCGACGAGTGTGTTGAGAGCTGGCTGCTAGCCGAATCGGTAGACAGTAGCTCAAGTCAATGATTACCACCCGAAGATTGGTCGTGAGAAAAATAAGAACAAAGACTGATTCAACAACCAGTCAGAGCAGACTTTGCGTAGGCGGATACAATTTGCAGATAGATAATGTGAACTTCAATAAACGGCCACAAATGGATGAAAGATTGACGTTCAGCGAGAAACCACCAATCAGAAGACTGTGTTTGTCTGCTCACAATAATCTACAATAATGTACATGAAAATCGATAAATATCTGTTGATTTCCTAAACAAACGATATGTTGCCTGGTCCTTATCTTCTGTTGTTACAACATTATAACATTAAAAACACAAATATTCAGCAAAGAGACCCTTTTCAATGGACATTCATCATTAAGCTGTACAATTGTGTGTAAATTTGATTATTTTTTTTAGAAAGAACATCCTATGAAGAAATTTGAACAATTGGTATGAATTCTAGTATGATAATACTAACAATAACAATAATAATAGTAATATGAAGTACTATGAAATGTTTGTGATCATAATCATACTTCAATATTAACCGATAAGACAAGTAATGTCACGTATAAAATGTATGGATCTTGGAAAGGGATGTAAAATTAATATGACTAACAGGATTAGTAGGTGAATAAAATATTGCATAACATGGAGACGGGAGTTTGATAAGACACATATCAGGATAATGAATAATACTGAGAACTGCCCAACATGGTAATAACATTCGTAATAATAAGAGAAAGGTACATGGGTTACATAAGGCCAAAACGAACAAGGTAGAAGTAGTAGGGATTGTACATACTTCTTTTGTATACAAAGATTTGGCTTAAATTTATGAACAGCCGAGGCATCCTCTTCTGTCTTTAAAAGTATCAAATAGAGAGAACGCGGCAAGTTAGCGTGAATTCGATCGATAGATGATCTTAAAATTGCGGTCAAGGTTGGTTGAGTGACATAAGTCGATCGAGTGTTCTAGAATAGAGCTTTTCACACTCTTCCTTTCTTCCTTGTAAGACCATCCTGGAATGTACACTCGTATCCGTGTGGAAAGCATTTCCCGGTTCACAAGGTACCCCTTTAATAAACTTATATATATAACAAGTTTAATACAACACATAATTTACCAATCTGGTGGTGATAAGTTGGTTACTAAGGGCCTAATTATGTTCTCTGGTTAATATGTTACTTGAATTCTCTTTCTTCACATCCCTTTGCGTTCTGAGAGCAACACAGCGCTCCAGGTTTAAAGTTCAGGTAACTGTGGTGTCGTTTCTTATGAATTAATTTTGTTAGTCCAACCTCCTCTTTTTTTGGACTGACTATTGATTAGTTAACTAGTCGAGGTTTATGGGTGCACTGGTTAAGGAGTAAACCCTTGACTATGTACATGGCTGGAAATTTCCTATAACTACTTAAAATTAATAAGTAGTATAAGAGTATTTCAAAAACTTTCTTGTCTTCTTTTAATTTCTTATAATATTTTCTATAGGTTGTATCTCAATTATTACGCAAAGCTCATGAACATGGTTATTTATTGCCTACATATCAATCCCAACAAGGTGATGAATTTGTTGGTGCAACAGTTTTAGAACCACGTAAAGGTTTTTATAATGAACCCATAGCTACATTGGATTTTGCTAGTCTATATCCAAGTATAATGATGGCGTATAATTTATGCTATACAACTTTGTTACAAGTGAATACATCGCCTCATGGTTCAACAGGCGGTGGTATTCAAGCACTAGTGCAACGATATAATTTAACTGATGAAGATTATATTAGAACTCCGACTGGGGCGTATTTTGTTAAATCACATGTGCGTCAAGGTATTCTACCGGAGATTTTACAACAGTTATTAAGTGCTAGAAAAAAGTAAGTGTACTTATATGATTGTTATTTGTAACTGTAATTTTTTTGTAATTTTTCAACTGGAGTTCAGTTCATGAAGACTGACAAACTTCATTGTGTAACACTCCATTAGGGGAATGGGTGTTCGAGTTGATTAGGCTTTTTAAGTGACTTCTTACACTTTTAAGTCAGTGCTACCATATGTTTCAGGGACCTGACATGCGCGTTATGGAAGACAAATCCAACAGCCCGCTGTAGAATGTCACCATCATTTGATTAGTCCGAAAGTGTGAGCAGGAAGGAACTCTAGTGGCGAACCAACCAAGGACTTATCGGTCAACAAACATGCAGAAGAAAGTAGGGATGGATAGGACATACACTGAGGAGTTTGTTGAAGGGCATCATCTAAAAGGCCTTTAAAAGTGGAATCAGAATGGGAGGTGACTCTTTGGGCCTCCGAGGGTGACATTGTGGAGATCGTATCGGGTGGGAGTGAAATCTTTTGGTCAACCGTAGAGCCACCTGAAGAGGACTGCAAATAATAAGATGGAATGGAGTTGTGCTGCTGAAACTATATGTTCGGCTCCGAACCCAAGGGATTAAGAAAATTAATTTTACTCTTCTAACCAGTAAATCGGAGTCAGTTAAGTTACGAGAACTTATGAATTCAATATCATCCACCTGAGCTACAAATCTCCTCCATTAATTTATGAATTTAGCTAGAATGATAGATATTGCTAAGATAAGTAATCTGGAATTGAATTGAATTGGATTACACATATGCGTGCATTTCCCACACTCGCACACTCGTTTTTCCCTGATTAGTTTCTAGATTACAGTGATTGAGGGAAATTATTGATCATAGATTACACTATTAGACACTTTTGCTAAAAGATGTGATTGTTAACCTCATCATTATTTCATAACTTTAAGTTGATGTTACATTTTCATGGAGTTTTGTATCTTTCCCATCCAGTCTGATGCATAAGTCATAAGCAGTATTTGCGTTTAGAGTTTGTGTACACAACTTTGTATTGATTTATTTTTTGCACTATTGTATAAGTAAACCAACCATCCAGTTCAGAGAACACAACTATATCAAAATCATCCACCTGAGCTACAAATCTTCTCCATTATATCTAAATATTCATTTATTTCTGATTCAGTTAAATTTAAAGGTAAACTAACTGGGCTCTAGAGTTCAAAAGAAAGTATAAATTACTGATACAAGATGCTTTCTTTAATGGTAAAATGACGAGCTACTTCAAAGGTTATTTGTAACAGCTGCATCAGGTATTTTTATTTATCAGAACACAAACTTGTCACATTATCGGAGCCAAGAGAGATGAGCCACACAAAATCCCATAGTTTATGCGGGGGTTTCAAATACTGCTCGGACGCCCAGACCGAAGGAGATGGTTGTCATAAGCGGTCACCCCCAAGCCTTCGACTTAAATTCTGAATCACAAGGCAGTAGAGCAGGTACGATTATTACCTGGCATATCCCTTTTTTGAAGTGACGCCACCTGCTCTACCCGGTGGGTATTAGGGCGTTTCAGTAAATAGGCCAAAACAGACCGGCATGATTTCATGAAATTACTGTATCCTTCAATCCACTACATTGCTCGGATATCAGTATCAAGCAACATTTTCTGATAAGAGTGTAGCAAATGTTTAACTGAGTTGAAGAATATAATACCACCGATAATATGTACGCCAGAAACAAATTTGTAACGCTTAATTTCATTTAAAAATCATACAAAAATATATTTTTTCATTAAACCGCTATAGCAATTGACTACGGTGCTACAGTTATTTGGATTGCGTAATAAAGCCACTCGTAGGTCAGCGTTAGTAACTGCGTTCCCATGATTGTCGGTGACCGAATCAGGTGCGTACGTCTTTCAATCCGTGTGGATTCTGGAGCCCATGTTCACCATATTTTATTGGAATCTGGGATTTCCACCTCCCCTAGGTATTGTCCTACATTTCCACCAGTCTGGCTTTAAGAGCTAGGCGTTTGTTTGCATTCGCTCTTACACTTTTGTGAGGAACACTCAACTGTGCGAAGTAAATGAATAGGACTTACCTGATAGGTGTTATGAATATGTGGTCACGTAAAAGCATTTCAAGGGAGAGATCGATGTCTATCCACCCTCGACTGTACCGAATCGTTTATGGGGTCCTAGTAAGGTGGTATCTCTAGAAAGCTGGTTTTTACCACATGCCTCTTTCAGAATTCACCTACTTGGAACAGATACTTCATATATCATGAGCTACACTGATTACGTGACAGCTGATTATTTTACTTAGATCCCGAGGTTGGAACAGATTACCGGGATTCACACTGTGACACACCCACCAACTTCATATGCTGTCGTTTCCACCCCATGCCAGTGGAAAAGAAAGGAATAAACCATAATATTAAAAAGAAATAATTACTTGTTTGTGTAATTTATGAGATGATATTCTGCTGTACAGCAATTTTAACATCAATGTGTGTGTGTGGGGGGGGGGTGGAAAGTGTTGTTAAGTTGTGGCGTATAAAACCACTCCTAAATGACAATTTTTTCCAGATAATATCAGCTACCGAACAGTAAACTATGAACATTTTCTTGTAGTTTAACAGTTTTTCGTAAATAGAATGCTGACTAAAAAGACCACTTATAGAGGTTTTATATTTCAAAATTAGCGTTGTAGTAGTGAAAAAACTGACACTTAAAATTATAGAAGAAAACAGTACACAATTTAACAATAATAAAATGAAACATAATGGAAAGTTAGGATTAGTCACGAAGTGACTTCATTTAAAAAACCATCGAAAGCCAGCAGGAAGTATTGGACAGGTGTTTCGTCCTTGTTTGGGACTCTTCATCGCAAGTTAAAATATTGTGAGCTTTTGGATTTCGTCCCAGTGTCTCAGTGGCCAACGAGCTCACCTTGTGACCTGAACGTCCAGCATCCGATCCCTGATGGGATCATAGGTACGTAGTACTGAACAGTCACAAACGAGGAGGAAACAACTGTCGAATGCTCGCTGCTAGTAGTTTCAAGTGGTTCTCTAAATGAAATCACTGCAAACCACCAACACTTGAAAATAGACGAAAACACGGGGCATTTGCGACGTTCCGAAACTAGAATGTGAAAAAAACTAATTTCCTATCTTTGAAATAGTTTTGTTAAAAAAATTTAGTATTTAGTGCCAATAGATACCTTAAAAGTAAGAAAATGTTGTTTAGGTAAGAATCTGCACTAGATTGCGACATATTCACTTGTAGTAGACTATTTTATTTTTAACTCATTAAAAAAGCCCATTAAAATTTTCAAAAGAATGGTAACTGAACAAAGAATATTCTTTTCGATATCTTCATCATCGGGCTCTACAGTTATATATACATACTAGTAGTGAATGAATTAGTGTTATGAACAACATCAATGTTGTTTAAATAACATCGAATCGATAATATCAATACCATCAACATAAAATAAGCTGAATATCAGAAAAATTAGGAAAAATGGTGATGATTCAAATTCATGAATTTATAGTCTCCACTAAAGGCTGACCAGGGCAGTAGTAGTGGCTAGCTGGACTTGTTTCTTCTGCACACAAAGCACTTGTTGTTTCAGGCGAATGGCGATAGCCTCTGCTGTTTGGAGCATGCGGTACCTGGATGTTTTTGGAAATTTATTTGGTACGTGGTAGATGATAGACAAGGCTTCTTCAATGCTGGCTTTATGGCCGGTTTGGACCAGGTGGTCCAATATCGAACTGTTGATAGTTTTTACTACACCTTTACTTAGCCACACTGGGATGTGTGTCGCGAGGGACCACGAGAAATCAGGTTCCTAGAGCAACAGCCAATATAACTCGCTCTACAAGCGCAGTTCAATTGGTAGATACAGTTGGAAGTGGCTAGTCTAGGAACTTCATCTTCTAATCGAGGAATCCCCACTGGTCGTGTAGAAAACATGACTTGTAGTTTGCCAGTATTAAAAGTTCTTTGAACTGATTTTCTTGACTTCTTCGTAATTATTTCGCTAGGTATATCGCCTTTGAATTTCAAAGAAATATGATTCAGTTAATGAGAGTAAATTTTTGCGACCACAGTGTTTCAGACAGATATGTCGATACTCAAGTCATATACACCTGATTTTGTTTGCACTTCTTCTCGTTGAATACGAATATGCCATTAGAAGTGAAAAAAATGTATTTATTGATCTTCCAAGTTCAATCGACAGGAATTTCAGTAGTCTGTATACATAAATACATTTACTTAATGCTTGCATGCTGGTCTTTACATATCGATTGATTCTAGTTCCACGGAGTATTATACACAAACTATGATCACTTTTATTATGAGAAACAAAGGTGTTTGTATATTAAAATTGTCAAACAGTTCAAGTAATTGGCAGTTAGTTGTAACAGATTGTGTTATGCACCTAAGTTTTCAAATAATTGATTAGAAATGCTCATTAAAATTTTTCAAAAGAATGGTAACTGAACAAAGAATACTTTCTTCAATGACTTCATTATCAGGTTCTACAATTATGTATACATAATGGATGAATGAATTAGTGTTACTGACAACACTGATGTTGTTTAATTAACATTGAATCAGGAATAATATCAGTGGGTGACAGTTCGATATAGAAAGGTTTTTTGTTTACTGATAGTAAATAGTCCTTTTCTGCCTTCTTGGTCATGGGCTTGTTGATGAACTTCTCTGGATAGCTATTTCCAATCAAGTAATCATATACAATCCTTAGCTCATTTTGAGTTACCTCTTCTGAGCATATAGCTCTAACTCTGTGACTGAGGCTCCTTACTACATTTCCTTTGTACTGGAGAAGAACGAAGCCATGACAATGTGTATATTGTCGTGTCTGTGTGCTTTTCGTATGCAAATTTCTCTTTATGCTACCATCTGGTTTTCTTGTAAGGAGGACATCTAGGAAGGCAATTCTATTTCGGGATTCGTCTTCGCACGTGAATTTTATAGCAGAATGTACTTCATTGAATTGAGTTATGATTATCCTCCTATCCGAATCATTATCACAATGAATTAAGGTGTCATCCATATACCGGCAATAAAATGAAAATTTTCTGATAAGGCTTTTCAAAGGTCCATTTTCTAGTTTACTTAGAGAAAATGTGCCAAAATGCGACCCAATGGGGAGCCCATCACCACCCCGTTTGTAAAGTGTGCCATCAAATTTTTTAATTACATTCATGGTACATCCTTATATCAATTTTTTAGGATTTGCGCTGTGATGTCAATATTTGTCGACTGGTTATACGTTGGTCCACATATGTAGTTAACCGTTTCTTCTATAGATGCGTTGGTGAATAAAGACCTTATGTCAAAGATATCATGATTTTGTCCTTGATATTCATTTCTGTGATTTTGTCTGTAAATTCATATGCATCTTTCACGCTATATTTCACTATCTTCTCATGCAAAGGTTTAAGAATATTTACTAACCATGTGGTTAGAGCATGATTATGTATAAGGAAGTGCGTTTACATTATAAAACATGCAGCTGACTTATTACGGCTTCCTGGAAGATAATTGTCATATGGATACATCCTGTTATGCGCTACTACAAACTTTGCCTTAAGAAGTACTCTTAGCGTAAATCTACTAACGATGACATTTCGCAGCCCAGACCGAATGCAGTAGGAGAAGATTCGGATGCAATACCCAATACTTGAAAGCCATTTGTTGTTTAGGTCAGTAAATCTCCCCTTATGAAGAGCATCTAGATTTTTAGTTATAAATCTCACAGTACAACCTTCTATATGGATTGCGATACGTTTTAGAGCCATAGTTTAATCACAAAACATGGAAGTGTAGCATGGAAAACCATTTTCACTTTATTTCTAAGCAATTGTTTCATGCGTTCCAAATGATAAGGTACTATGTAAGTAGTGATTATTCATCACCTTCGAGGTAAATCGCTTCACGAATCGATACCAGTTAGAAATTCATCAACAGCTGTTTCTTCCTAGAAATCTGTGATTGTGTATTCTTAGGACGTAATTAGTGTCCGTGCGTCGGTGGCATAGCGGTTAGGACGCTCGCCGACGATGCACATAGTCCGGGGTTCGATCCCCGGCCAACGCACTCCTTTACCTTGCTAAGTCAGAAATAATGCTGGTGAAGAGGAAAGGTTGGGCATGGGGCTAGCAACCCCATCCTGTAAAATAAACACTGCTACAGAAACTTCAAGCCACTAGCTTGAAGCCCTATGTTCCACTGGGGAACGTGAAGGAAAAGAAAAAGAAAATTGCTGTCCAGTACTCAATGGTTCTTGTTATCTTTTCAGGTAATATATGAATTCATAATGTAATGTGCTTCGAAACCAACTAAATCCTTCCAGACCTAGAAAACTGAGCCGAATTTTAATCCTCATTTATCACATAATCCGTGTAACTTCGTCATTTCGTTTCTATTAGGATATTAAGTAGTATAACAACCCAACTTTAAAATTATTCTCATATTAAATCTTTTAATTATTTCATATTCCAACTGAATAATAACAATAATAATAAAATGATAGAGCCAAAGCAGAACTTGCCAAAGAAACTGATCCACTGCGTAAACGTGTTTTAGACGGTCGTCAATTGGCATTAAAGATTAGTGCTAATTCTGTATATGGTTTTACTGGTGCACAAGTTGGCAAGTTGCCGTGTTTAGAAATATCAGCTTCAGTGACATCATTTGGTCGCCTTATGATTGAACAGACTAAAACGCATGTTGAACAGAAATTTTCAATAGCTAACGGATATGCACACAATGCTGTGGTAAGTATGAATGTTTATCTTTTTGGAGTTTTTTTGTTGTTGATTAGTTGCTTCAAAGAGAATATCTTTTTTACAGATACTTTTACTGGGAATCCATCAGTAGATGTGTATCCTATTATTTAAGTATTGGTTTGTAGGGATTTTATTGATTGGTTACAGGATTTCATCATGAGCTGACATTGGTTGGAAAACCTGGGAGTATTGGACAACTGTTTCGTCCTAGTTTGGAACTCTTCAGTAGTACGCACCCACCGGGATTGGAACCCAGGACCTTCTGGTTAAAAGGCGAGCTAGGTCTTAGACCATTAAGCCACTGGTACTCGATCCAATGTCCCATAAATTCCAACTTCTGCCAATTCACGAAATAGCGTGATTGCTAGCCAATATCTTTGGCGAGTATTTGTCTTCACACCCGACTGGCTGCTGCACCCTACTGGTCACGACTTCCAGCTAGAATCCCAGGTAACTACCTACCTGAATAGGGCAAGTCACTAGTGAGCATCTCATCGATATTTAAATGTTGTTTGTAGGGATTTGATTGATTGGCTACAGGATTTCATCATGAGCACAGATTTCAGGTAATCGGTTTGTGTATCACTAGTCTGTACACAGTAGGTGTGACTGTCGTTGCCTGACTGGCTGAGTTTCAGCATACAACTTTGCATAGAAGTGGGCCAGTTCAAGTTCCCATACTCCTTGTACCCCACAAAGATAGAAAAGAAAGCAAAAAGATATTCAAAAGGATTACAATAAGCAGAAATGTATGACAGGAAGAATAGTAACCCGGGAAAACATGTGAGATCGTAGAGAGTGAATGCACCTTTCTATTGAAAACGACTGTCGGCTGTATCACTAACAGTCTGTAACCATTGGTTCTTAACATCCCGACGTCCTCAACCAGACGGCTGAAAACAACTGTTAACTACTTTATGGATTGATCTGACTATCTCTAACTCTTTTCCAACCTGATTCTATGTCGGCTAACATTGCTCATCAAGAAGAGTTATGCCTCAGGATGTGTAACACGTCTCTTAGCCATCTCAGTCGATTGACTTTCTCTCCTTACCTAACAATCTACACCTAACCTCAACATTACCCAACCCATTTCACCACCCAACAGCTAGCCTCTTCATATATCCTACTCTCGATGGCCATGTTTAACATTCATTAAGAGAGACTGAACAAACTGCTGAACGGTATCCACGTCTTTTGATCGATAACCGGATATCACTTCTGCGACAGAGATGACGTTTGTTGACGAATGCTACACGAGCCGTTTGTTTCTGTGCTGAGATTTTGTCAGCATCCAGTCTGTTCGAGCTGGTGTGATTTCCCAAATAAGTTCAGTGGCTCCTAAAGTGTAATAGGATACCTTTCAGAGATTGTAATGATATGATAAAAATTAATGGGTCTCCGACCACTCACACCAATCAGTGGTATATACCATCGTACAGTTTGAATTGCTTTCTTGATGCTTCTTATGATGTCAAGCAGATCGCATATTTGATTAGCTTTGTTCTAAATCAGTTGGACAACCGTTCAGTGCTTGAACCATCAACAACAACAACAACTGGCTAGTAAGTACTACCGGTTGACGCTTTAAGACTCATGAAGAGTAAAGTAAACAATGAAATGCGACATTTCTACTACAATAAACGTGATGTATTGTCAAATCTACATTACTGTAGTCAATTCTGATTTATATTGTCTTGAGTCTTAGACAATGAATTCCAGTGGTCAATTCGAAACAGCCAAGTTTGTCCATTATATCATAGTCATTTATGAAAATACAAACTTGACACATTATCGGCCGCACAATATCTTGTAGTTTGTGTGAGGGCTGAAATAACTGCCTGGACGCTTAGACTGAGCCTTCGACTTGAAGTCCGATCCACAAGGCAGTAGAGCAGCGTCAGCATCTGTGTCCCCATGGTTGTCGATAATCAAAATGGGTTGATCTGTGTGGATTCTGGAGCCCATATTCACCGTATTTTTTGGAATCTGGGTTATCCACCTCCCCTAGGTATAGTCCTACATGTCCATCAGTCTGGTTATCAGAGCCAGATGTTCTGATTCGCTCCTTCAGTTTTGTGAGAAACACTCCGCAGCGTGAAGGTAATGTATTGTACCTACCTGACAGAGGCTATGAACCCGTCGATAAATGGAAGCACTTTGGGAGGAAGATCTAAGTCTAGTTACTCTTGGTCGTACCAAGTTGTTTATGGTAGTATTTCAATATAATTTGAAAATCTACTGGGAAAAGAAACTTTAAAGTAAAAATTAATATTTTGAAACGTCATCCACAAGTATCGATCATTATGAATTGTTTAAAGATTCAGTAGGATTTAGTTATTTGGGATAATTAAACCATTATTTCTATATTTATTTATTTTTCATATTTACCGAAACAATTTGATTAAATTCTTATTTTATGCTTTGTAAAGTAGGTAAGTCCTAGAATTTTTCTACTTGTATTCCTTATTCTCACATACTTTCATCTCTATAGCTTAAAGTGTGAATCAGAAAACAAAAGAAAAAACTTTACGAAATGGTTCGAATTCCTTCACTATGACATCTTTGAGTTTTTGAATACTGACAATAACCCCTATCCTTTATTTACTTCTGTACACAAATTAGTCGTCATACTTTGATCTGTGTAACTGTTTTTAGCCCTAATTTACAGGTCCATATCATCTGCTCAACTGTACATTGTGATGACTATCCTAAGTGTTACGACACTACTTACTCACATTGTAACGACAGAAGACATGGGCCAGGCAACAGCTCCTCTATTGAGGAAATCAACAGATGTTTATAAATTTTTATGTAGATTATTATAGGTTATTGTTAGCAGACAAACAGCGTCTTCTGATTGGTTGTTTTCACGCTAGAAGTTAATCTGTCATCTCTTTGTGGCTGTTTCTTTGAAGGTCAGACCATATATCTGTGAATCGTATCCGCCTACACCAAGTCTGCTGTGATTGGTTGTTTCGTTAGTCTTTGTTTTTGGTTTTTTTTTCTGATGATCAAGATTTGGGATGCTTACATTGACGTAAATTGCTGTCTAACAATTTTGGCTAGCAGACAGCTCTTACCACAATATGAAGTGGTCATAGAGAGATAGAAACAATTCTGATCAAAATAATTCAGTGACAATAGTTATGGAAACGCGTATATTGCTCAGGTTTACAAATACACCTTGGTGATAAATGCTGTTTCTCTGCAATGATATGTGGTATGTAATGGTACTAAAGTCGATCTATCAGTTTGTATATAACTTTCAGCCTATCTTTCTTCGGTCCTTCGATTCACTGAAGTCAATTGAAATATGTATTCAGTTTTTTATGCACCTGCATTCTGTACAGTTTGCAAAAATAATTTATCTTGGAATTTTCTCACCTCTTTTTTTTAAAAAATTATCTCTTGATTCTAAAGGTTATTTATGGTGATACGGATTCTGTAATGTGTAAATTTGGTGTATCAACAGTTGCTGAAGCTATGGAACTTGGTCGTAAAGCTGCTGAAATTATCTCTGAAGAATTTCCAAATCCTATTCGATTAGAATTTGAAAAGGTTACTTTAAATTTTTTTTTCAATCTCATTTTTCTTTTATAAATGTATAATTCTATATACTACTGGTACATAAATGAGTAGTGTAATGGTAGTAGACGAAAGACTTGGTAAAAGAATGTTTATTTGGATGGAATTCGATATCTCTATGTAGCGAAATCGTGTGTACACCTTATCTCCGAATAGTCATTTAATGCACAGGTCTTCCGTGTTCTGTCACTTCTACCCTTCTTATTATGTTTCTTTGTCTTTTTTTCATGTCTCCCATGTTTTGCTGCAACACTGAACTATTTTCTCTCTTTGACATCAAATCTATCTCTCCTCTATTTGATATTTTCGTGCTGTTGAACGTCTCTGCATATACTACTGATGAATTTTATCAGTAGTACACACCACAGTGGTAATTGTTTACCAAATCGAGGTGATCTAATCCACCGGATGGATGGCCATTTCACTTGTTAGGAGTTGAGCTCATCACTATCAATGGTGACGACATGCAGAGTCTGGGCTTTGCTATATTTAGTAGAACGCAGGTGACTTAACATCAACTTTATCTGTTTCTGAAATATAAAGGAAATAATACAGTTACACACGGGTAACAATACAAAAACAACTGTCATTGAAGAAAGAACAAAAATAGACAGATCAGTATTGACGTCTAGAACAAAGTGGTCAGTGAATTACATTCAAACGGATTCTTGTTCTGGATTAAAATCCCGTCTCAGTCTAGAAAACTGCGTAGTATCATCAACCCCGTCACATAAAATAAGTGGGCCTCGTAATCCAGCATATAAGAAATCTGTTCTGGACATCTGCGGTCCTTGCAGCATGCAATACTTAGATGGACAGTGTGAAAAGACTTCAGGAGAAACAAGTTGATAGCAGTATCCATCGGATTCAAGTATCTGACATAAACCTTAACCTGACATAATTCATCCAATACTGTCCAAGTAGCAGAGCACAGTATACCATGTGAGAAGTCTTTCTCTGACAACGGAATTCTAACCAATTGTTGCTTTCCGACAGATACAAAAGCTTTTTCTTTTCATGCTGCGTTGTAGCATGCAGTAAGACACTAATGAGTTACAAGAGTGTGAGATATTCCCTTAGCATAAATTAAATTAAAGTCAGTACAAAAATTGAGCTGTTCAATATCTCTGTAAATGTCAGAACACAAACAAATCTCAGAGAAATCTATCAAGCTCTGTTAAGGTTTTACGTAATCTACAGAAATAAGTAATACCTTCTATTTTAACAAGATACGTTTTGAATCGTTATAGTCTCAGGGGTGAATGCAACTAACCGTACAAAGTATTTTATACCATTTGAACTATTTACATTCGCTCTAGGTGTAACCAATTGAGATTTTTTGAAATTTAATTGATGCCATTTATTTTACATGCAATCTTGACGTCATAGTTTGTTATGTAATAGCAGTGGTAATAAACAAGTAGACCATAGACAAATCAATATATATGAGACAAGTGAAAGCAAGAAATAAATGTGCGTTCAAACTAGGAATACTGTTCTTGATGTTTATAATATCTCACTAGGCGGAGTGGGATTGAAGTTGATTCTTGAATTAATTGATTCACAGCTAATGGTGTGAGGGTTGAAGAAATATACGATGTTCCATGGTGTGTAATATTTAGAGGCATTCTAATAGATATTTAAACTTAAATTCATCTCATCCGTTAACTGTTAAGGCAGGCTTAGTTAAGTGTCGAACAAAGTGAGCAGTAGCACTAAGTAGCACAAGAAAAGACCTAAATGATGAAATAAAAAAGATAGAAGAGGCGTTGGTGTTAAATAACTATCCTATAAAATTCATTGAGAAGATCGGAAAAGGCCAAAAGCAAATTAAAAATAATTGTAAAATTAGTAGTGATAACATAAATAAGAGAGAATATAAGTCATCTACTATTATACCATATAAGGCAGGAACATCTGAGACCCTACGTACGGTTCTTAATAAAGCAGGAATTAGAGTGACATTCAAACCTACAAACTCACTCAGGTGGGACAAGCTCTGTAGGCTAAAAGACCCGGTGGACCCAATTAAACAAAATAATATAATTTACAAAATACCCTGCAATGACTGTGACTTAAGTGAACTACATAGGTCAAACTAGTAGATCGGGAGAAATCAGATTGTCGGAACATAAGAATTTAGCTAAGGTAAGAATGGTTGACCCAGAGAAGATGAGTAATTTAGAAAAAAGCTCAGCGATTGCAATGCATGCATTAACACACAACCACACAATAGGGTGGGAGACGGTTAAGATTCTAAGAAGTAATCTATGTAGGTGGAAAAAGAGATTCATTGCTGAATCCCAACACATGCAACAGAAATGACTCAATGCAAATACCAGAAATATGGAAGATATTATTACCGCCGGTCAAATCAGAAGAGGATAATAAATACTCTTAAAATTTTCTTTCAATTCAAACACATCACAACATTCTAACAAGTTACTTATTTTGACTATAAAAACACTCGTCTTATTTCCCATCTGATTGTACTTGATCAATAACACTCATATTATTATTTCTGAATGTACATTATCTTATATCGATTTTTATTTAAATATCTAATCAATTTCACTCATGTATATAAATGAAGTAAAAAGTTGTGTGAGTAACTTGATATGATTATGAGCAATAGTTTCTGGTCGAAACGTCATCAATAAATATTACTGTATAACACTATGACTTATCAAAGTAAAATCTTATCCATAATATAGTTATGCTCTACCACAGTGCCCAAGTTTTATACTTATATCAATAATACATCTGCATGTGTCTTATGCTTTCTGAGTGGAACATAAGGCTTCAAGCTTGACCTCTAAAGTTCCAGTAACGATGATATTATTTCTACAGGGTGAGTGAGATTGCCAGTCTCAGGTTTAATCTTTCGTGTTTTTCAGAGCTTACCACCGGCTAATCGAAGTTTAGGAGCACGTTAGCTGGGAATTGAACTTAGGTCACGTGGGCGGTTTACAAACATTCTACCATTGAATAAACACCAATGTACCATCTGATCAATGCTAAATAACCTTCCCTTTCAACAACATAATTCCACTTTAACCTAACCTTTACCTATACTCTCATATCTTTGCTTTGTCTTGTTTATTTTTCCGTTTTCTTCTGCATTTCAGGTATATTTTCCCTATTTACTCATCAATAAGAAACGTTATGCTGGCTTATATTTCACTAAACCAGATCGTCATGATAAAATGGATTGTAAAGGCATTGAAACTGTACGACGTGATAATAGTCCATTGGTAGCTAATCTGATAAATGCATGCTTGGAAAAGATACTAATTGATCGGTAAGTGTTAACTTTAAATATTGTTTTTTTTGTTAGAAAGAGGTGAAAGTGAAATAGTTCAGCTGCCTTTTCTCTCCTTTTTGCCTTTTATTGTAATATTAATGCTACTCTATACTGCGTTGTATAACAAATAGATAAAAGATAAACACGTGTAACAACCACTATAGTTACTAAACGTAACTATCTAATTTTCTGTGGGGTACAATGCCTTTAATTGAATTTTAGATTTTCCCGTCGATTGATTGGATCGTAGTGCTCGGTCTCAGGTTGACATGTCGGCTCTCGTGGCCCAAGTGGTCTAGTGGATAACGTTTTGGCGTTTGAAACTATGGACACTGGGTTCGAGCCTCGGTGGGAACATCATCACTCACTGAGAAATACATGTACATCCAGCCGACGAGTCTTAAATAGGACGAAATGTTCATCCTCGATTCCACTGCTAGTCACCATCCACCAATTAAATACAATGCCTTTAGTTTACTCAGTAGTTATGCTTTGACTGAACCATCTATTTACCTTTATGGAGAACAATCTGTACTCACTTACGTCTCTGAGTGGCTTTTAACAATACTACTTGGTCTCTATTGTCTTAAAAGGAACAAATACATCGGTGGCGGGAACACATTGCAGATGGAATAAATTTCCATGGAGTTTTATTACTGTTGTAGACTACTGTTTTACTTGAAGATTCTGTATATGGAGGTGATAATATGAAGCTGAAAATTCCTTACTGAATATGTATACATGTTTAGAATGCAGCTGTTATTATTATTATTCCTACTACAGCGAATGAAGATTTTGAAACTCAAATGGATAAAGAACACTGTATTGTCGACTGTTAAGGAAATTTAAAAAAACTACAGTACAGACGGGAGGCAATCACTTCATACATTTATTCCCGTTTATGAATTTAAACAAAGTAAAAACATATGTTTGTGCAGAATAATATGAAGCCATCATTTATTTCGTTGGATTCTCTTCAGCCGCTTGTGTAATGTACACGTGTGTCATCGTGTCACTCAGTGCTGCAGTCAGAGACGTTACCACCGAATCTCAGAAGGGACATTAGTTCCTTCAAGACTATGGATACGCCATGCTGATGAGTGACAACAAGCACGAAACCCAAGTTCAAGGCTTCCTACTGACTGCCTCCAGTCATCTAATGCCAACAATTCTAAGTACACCCTGCTGGGCGAGCTACCTAGCATGGTGTAGCCATATTGCAAACTTGACTGATAGAATTCTTAGTCTGCAGCAAACAAAGGAACTAGACGCATGGCACTAGTTAGTCTCCAATCAAAGTGACATGTAATGTTCTGATAGTTTCATTGTACCCTGAAAACTTCATGTTTCTTATCAGCACGCCTCTTAACATATCAATGTAGGCGTTATTTTCAGTGCACCTTCTTGAAAAAATGAGGTTGGTATATTCTTGTTAGGATTTCATGGAGGTGTTTTTATTGATCAGATGGATGGTAGAAGAGCTACTGAAATATTTCCACACACCCCGCATTGATTTGTACAATTTCTATGAGGAGGGTCTTCTTGATGTTGAAAAACTATTGCTTGAAGATACATTCACTCTTTGTCATCCTGCAAATTCTGAATGTCCTCGCTACACATTCACTGCGCAGCCCTTTATGTGCGAAGTCCTACATTAATTCATAAATAGGTGAAATCCAAGGAAATATCCCACCTTGTTTAATCTTAACAGGATTATTCGTCCCATTTATTCCGAGTGGAACGAAAAGTCTTATTTCTTCTGTAATCTGAACAGCCTTGTCCAACTTCAAACATCATGAAGATCTTCTATGTCCCCACACTTACTTTTTCTTTAATTCGACGAAGACAAATCGGCCAATTGATTTCCAGGAGACTTTCATCAACCAGCATTATCCATCTTCGAAGTAAGTAGTCTTTTCGATTTCTTCATAGAATAAGTTTATCTTCTCTGTCCTTTAAAGTTTCCTTAACTTTGTGAAGTTGACCTTAAGAGGGATTTCTTTCTGTAAATTTACCTCTCACTTTTATTTTCAACACTAATTGGCTGCTTTTTATGTTGATTTAACATGCTCCTAATTGTATACTTGAATTTACCTTCCTAGTGTAGTGTACATGTTTTGATTTGTAATTCTTAATGTAATTGAGAGTCCTTCGTAAAGACTCACGTTTGGACAATAGTTTGACAATCAGAGCATCCAGAATTTTAAAGTTGCAAGTGTTTATCACTCTGTTACAATTTATAATGATCTAATTTCTATATTTCCCACTTTTCTCTTCCTCCCCACCCCGCCGTTTTATATTACATTTCAGTGATCCGAATGCAGCAATTACCTATGCTCAATCAATTATATCCGATTTATTATGCAATCGTATCGATATTTCACAATTAGTGATTAGTAAAGAATTGACAAAAACAGATGAAGAATACTCGGGGAAACAAGCTCATGTAGAATTAGCAACAAAAATGCGTAAACGTGATGCTGGTTCAGCACCGAATCTCGGTGATCGTGTCCCATATGTGATAACAGCTGTCGGTGGAAAAAATACAGCAGCCTATGCAAAAGCTGAAGATCCACTCTATGTACTGGAGCATAATATCCCGATTGATACAAAATACTATTTAGAGAATCAAATAGCTAATCCATTACTACGTATATTTGAGCCTATATTAGGTGAAACTAAAGCCAAGTCTGTATTGTTAAGTAAGTTGAAATTCAATGCAATTCAATGGTTTCTTTTTTATTTTGTTACTGATTGTAATTAAACTTCCTAATAATTGAATTTATTTTGCCCTTTCCTCAACCAACTAACTCACTTTTATGATTATTATTATTATTGTTCCGTGTGAAACAAAGGACTCTATTTTTGATTGGACAGTAGTCAGTAACTAGTGTAATGTATCTAGTCCTATCTTCGATGCAGACTGAATCCTATCAGTCAAGCTTGCAATGTGGCTACACCATGCTAGGTGGCTCGCCATTACGGTGCACTGTGAAGTGTTGGTATTAGATGGTTAGAGGCAATCTGCAGGAAGCATTGCCTGACCTAGGTTTCGTGCTAGTTGACACTCACCAATCGAAGGAACTCATGTCTCTTCCGTCTCTGACTGCAGCACTGGATGATGCGGGTTTGAATCTTAGAAGGGACATGAGTTCCTTCAAGGTTGCAGATACACAATGTTGACGAGTGCCAATTGGCTACCTACCGATTGCCTCCAACCATCTAATACATAGGACTCTAGCAGCTCATCTCCGTCTCACTGCCTTCTCTGCAGTCTTTTTTGTAACTGACTCCACGATTACCCACAAGCTTTCATTGCCTCTTCACACGATCTCTTTCATTTCTCCCTCAGACCAACGTCCAACTCGTTGTTTCCCATCTAGGTCCCACTCAAGGGTCTGTTTAGTGTGTGATATCACCCATCGGTCTCCTCAGCGTATGTCCAGTTAGTCTAAATTTAATTCCGAATATTTGTTAGCTAGTTCTTATTCTCTCTGGCCAGCCATCTGATCTTCAGTATAGAGCAAAGACAACTGTCGATGAAAGTCTGCATCAGTCTTTGGAAAGTGCTCTTAGCGAGCCAAGTCTCTCAACCATATGTAAGCGCGGACTGATATGACATCAGTGTTGAATATCTGGATCTTTTTCCGTATGCTAAGTGCAGTAGATCTGGACACTGATTCCAAAGCAGTGAGGATCTACACTGTTTTTCTCATCCTGTCTCATCTATGCCGCTTGCTGTTGAAACGACCCGGACTTAATTGAGTGGTCAAACATCCCCCGTTGCTATACAGTATTCTGCCTGAATAAAACTAACACGACACATAGTACTAATAAGCATATGCTGCTGGTTTCCACTTATGTCAACTAGGTTGTGTTTGTCAGCCAGATAGAGGTGGTATAAACACCGGGCAGCTGTCCCACTCCTTTTGGAACAGAGCTAATCAGCTGTTTATTTTGATGAACCTGACTTTCAGATAGTCATATCAGTTCAATCCATCAGAAGTCTAGCTAGGTACTTAGGTGAACTTACAACAATACATAGGATATATTTATGCATGTGTAAAGTACCCAGTTCTAGGTGAGATTTCACTATGATTTCCTAAAATATTGGGATCATATCATGTGGTCTAAGTGGTTGGTGTAAATCTAGCAGTTTATGTCATATGATTCCAACCTCTCTAAGGTGTCCGACCATGCTTTTGGCGTATTCATACGGATTTAATATGCATTGATACACCCATACCAGTTTGGAGTATATTGTGTTGCACTTTCCTGCTCTTTATCACATTACCACTTAGAGTATAAATTAGGTCATATATTGTAATTTGAATTTGTTATGGTTCCAAAGGAAATCATGGTGAGATTGCGCCTGAGATTGTATGCATTCCAAAATGACTATTTACATTTTGATTTTTGAAGCATTATATGCATAGCTTGTGATTCAGTTCATAAAAGTATCACTTAATAATAAACTCTCGAGTATTGATCTGGGAATTGCATACCCGCTTTTTTTATTTCCACCTGACTAATCTTAGAGTCTTCCAAGTCTTCACATTTCTACTGTGATTTTTAAAAGAACAATACAGAGAGTTACAGTATTATACCTTCATCGATGAAAGTGTGCGGAGAAAAAATCCTTGAACTTGCCGAGAATGACTAATTTTTCAACTTCTTGTAGAGCATTTGAATAACGAAATTACCTTTTACATCATAAAACTTATACCAACATATTTTAATTGAAATGATAAAATCTAGCAACAACTCTATTTTCCATAGCTGGTTTGTAAGGATTAGATTTGTTTTTACGAATTTATAACAGTTAGAGAACCATTGAAAACCAGCACTGGAGTACTGGACAGCTGTTTCACCCTGGTTCTCTAAATGATATCAATCCTTGATGAACTCGTAAAAACAAAACTAATCCTTACAAACCAAATATAGAAAATTAATCTGATGCTCGCTAGTGACTTGCTACAGGACGTAGTTTCCTGGAGTTCTAGTGAAAAGTCGTGACCAGTGAGGTCCATCCAGTCAAGCGTGAGGATGGATGTCCTACCGATGACATTGGTTGGTGCCAGTCGCGCTAAATCACGAGTTGGTAGAAGTTAGAATTCATGGGTTGGCCATTGAATCGGGTCCCAGTGGCTGAGTGGTATACGAGCTTGCCTTGTAGCCGGAGGATTCTGGGTTCGCTCCCTGGTGGTGGGTGCGTACTGTCGATTTCCAAACTAGGATGAAACAGCTGTCCAGTACTCCCTGGTTTTCAATGGTTCTCTAACTGATGTTAACTCATGATGAATTCCTCCAACTAATCTTTTTTTGAATTAATATTTTTTTAAGAAGTCCTTTTGACCACATAGATAGTTTGATAGATAGAGTCATTTTTTAAGAGTTTGCAGTTTTAGATACAATTCTACATATGTCATTGTAGGAACAGTTACATAATAAGTTGTGATCTAATGTTAAGATTGTGCGACTTTTAATTCATTTGTGTTGTTGTTGTATCCAGTTGTACTCAAGAAAATAGGAAGGACAGGTGCTGATATATGTATACATTGCAACTAATTGTATAGAGCAGTGAAATTCGTAAAAATCAATCGACTTCTAATGTTGTATTGTTCAGGAGATAGAATTAAATTTTGCTTTCTTAAGTAAACAGTAGTGCCTTCCTTACTTTCATCATTCTACTTCTTATCACCATTTCGTTGTCCGTATTTTATTTAATGCACACCTTAATGATGTATATCAAAAAAGTTTATGTATTGAAGTGAAATAGACAGGACATAATGAACTGATCGCTTGATCGTTACACATAGGACACATTTAAAGTCATTTAGAAAAATGTATGAGGGTGTTATCTATAAATCCTTCGTCCACAGTTCCAGGCGGGATAAAATCGGTTTTGGAGCTTTTCCTGTGGCATATTTATCAGAATTATCACACTTTAATGGATTATGGAAAGCCATGAACTGCTCTTATTATCATTCATTAGTATCATTCCCTTGGATTCCTTGTGGAATACAAGGCTTCAGTAGCTCACCTCCATTTTACTGCTTTCTCTACAATCTTTTTTTATCCGAATTCATGATTGCCCATTGGCTTTCATCACCTCTTAACACGATCTCCATGTGACACGCAGACTCATGCCCAACTCGTCAGTCGTCTCCCATTGAGCATCTCACACTTGAGGGCCTGCTGTTCCGTAATGTCACTCAGTGGTGTCCGCCACATATATCTAGTCCGTCTGCATTCCCTTCTGGATTTTTTATTTATGGGATAGGTTGTTGGTTGGTTCGTTATCAATGAGAGTTCTTTATTGTTTATCCTTTCCTCTCAGCCATCTCATCTTCAGCATCAAGCCAGCAGTGTCAGTTGTTGATGAAATTAGCCTACAGTAGCCAGGTGCAAATGATTTCTGTGACATAATTCGTCAAGTCTCTGAATCATATCGAAGCGCACTGAATGACTTAGCATTATTCTTGAATATTCGGCTATTGTTCCTTGGGCGCTTGAGTACAGCAGATTTATATACTGGTTTCACAGCAATGAAAGTCTGTCTTACTTTAACACCTTCATCCATACTATCCTTGCAAGAATTCAATTATTTGTATGCTGTAGAGGTACTGTTTATTTCTCACTGTGAGATTATACCATTTAAGAACTTTGCCAATCTTAGCTAGCATTTTGATTTTTGCTTTTCAAAGTTTTATCATTGTTTTGCTACCCTAGTCATATTTTTATTCCTTGTTTACCGTTGATAAATTCTCCATATGTGTTGTTTCCTTCTAGACGGTGAACATACACGCGTTAAAGCTGTTGTACACTCCACTGTTGGACAGTTATCAGCTTTTACAAAAGTACGTGCAACGTGTATTGGTTGTCGAACACCACTGCCAACTGACAAAGCAGGTAAGATGATCATAGGTGCTTATATATATATATATATATATATATATATATATATATATATATATATATATATATATATATATAGTGTCATGGGTTCGAGTCCCTCTCCACCAACTTTAATCTAGGCAGCTGGGTAGCACTCTCAATCCTCATGCGATAAAAGTGTAGCTAATAGCTCAATACTAGGTAACTGAGTAACTTGTGAGTGTGTGTGTGTAGTCCTTGTTGTTCTTGTAGGTTGAATTCTACCAGTCAAGTTTCCAATGTGGTCAGCACCAAGCCAGATGAGTCACCATTGGAGTGCACTGTGTTGGGAATACACTTATTGACTGAGTTTCAACATAGAACCTTGCGCAAAAGTGAATCAATTCAAGTTGCCATATTTCATGGGATACAGAAAAGTAGCCATTGAAAACGATTCTGAACCATATTACCAAGAGTCTCAAGCCTTTGATTGTTAGCGCATCCCAGGGACTCCAACCAGGCAGTCTATACCCACCTACATCGTTAGCTCAGACCAACTATCAGACTTAATGAGTCGACAGCATGTTTTGGTTTAATCACCCTTAACTCTTTTCTAACCCAACCTTATGTCAGTTAACAAAGGCTGTAGCTTGGCATACACAAAATGTGCCCTAGCCATCTCAATTGATGTAGTTTCACAACTTTATTGATTCACCATTTACTTAACGCTCTACGCCTAACTTCAACATTTCTGACGAGTACCAACAAGCATGAAACCCAGGTCCAGAGATTTTTTGTCGACCACCTCCATCCATCTAACAACAATGAAGTATTACTCTTTTCTGCGATATCATTCTCAAACTGTACAACCGCATATATATAAAACACTATTGTATCAATAAAAAGAATGTTTTCAAATATGTATCATTAAAATTCTAAGCTATTCAAGAACTCAATATTATTAAACAATTACCTAGTGAAAATGGTTACCCAGAAAAAATTCATCGACAAGAATATGAATTTAAAGCCAGAGAAAAGCCGAAGTACCAACAGTTCCGAAAGATTTCTTGTCCTTATGACTTCATTTCCTTGGTAATAACACACCAGGGGAATGTGGGAAAAAGGGTATTCACAATGCCGCTAAAGTAATCTGTCTCTTCACAACCACCACCCCTAGTTTACTTTCGGGAGTAAAAGAGTAGACTGCCGCATTTTATCTCTTCTATGTGTATCTATCAATTTGACTGCTCCTGTACAGCCAGTTCGTCACATAGGGTGTACAATTAGGTGTGTTTATCATCGAACTTCTGAACATTATTCTGCGTGGTTAAGCAAGGGATAAACAAAGTTCATTGATAGTTCTATTCTGTCTCATCTTGTAAATACAGAATACAAGATAGATGTTAACATGGCTTTCAAAGTTATCTACCGTATATACCGGTCAATATCTTAATTTGATTTTAAGAGTTTTGCTGTTTCATATTTCTGAGGCTGTCGAAATCCACATTAAGTAGAAGAATTATGTGTATAATTCTTACAGTTTCCATAGAAAATATAATTGGTACACAGTTTGTTGGCTGACATATCAGTTTGTCGTATATTCTTCCTCTTTCATATGAGATATCTATGCCATTAAATGTTCTCTTTATGTTCGGGCATACTTTTCTGCATCACTAGACTCTGCTTTATGCAAATTTTGTGAACCACGTGCATCAGAAATATATCAAAAAGAAATTGTTCAATTGAATTCATTAGAACAGAAATTTGCTTCATTATGGACTGAATGTCAACGATGTCAACAAAGTATACACGAGGAAGTTATATGTACAAGGTATGTGTAATTGAGTACTTTCGTTTTCTCTTTCTCTCTCTTTGTCTCTCTTTCCCCCCTCTATTACTTTTGAAATTAGTTCAGTATTGGGGTGTGGGGTTTTTCATTAGTGCGTAGTGCTGAAGAGTACCGGACAAGGACGAAACAACGGCCTGTTCAGTACTCCCTACTGGTTCTTAAGTAGTCCTCTAACTGAATTCAGTTAGTGATCGAAATAGAAGTCAATTAGAAATTAAACTAGTGCTCACTGATGACTCACTACAGAATCAATTCGCCTGAAATTCTAATGGGAATTCGTAATCAACAGGCTCTATCGAGTTAAGCATGAGGGCAGATACTCACCAATAACATTGGCCGGCGATGACGCTATTTCACGAATTGACAGAAATTCGAATTTATGGACCAGCCATTGGAATCCATCTCAGTGGCTGAATGGTTAACGATCCTGCATTCTAACCTGAAAGTCCTGGGTTCGATCCCTGTTATGGTTATGGGTGCATACTGATGAAGAGTCTGAAACTAGGATGAGAGAGCTGTCCATTACTCCCTGCTGGTTCTCTGACTGAACTCAATTCGTTGCCAAAACTGAAATCAATCAAATCGTTACACACCAACACTTGAAAGCTGAACATAGTTGTCTTAGTTCCGGATACTTCAGTGGTTCATATTCAAAACTACATGAGAGAGGTGGAACTAAGAACCGTTTCTTTTTGCTACAAGATCATCAGTGTATACGGCTAAACAGAATTTTAAACTACGACAAAGTAGGTTCCCACAGAACCAAAATTCATCATCATTTATCCTCCCATATTATAGATACGTCATAGGCTGATATACATAAAGCTGTATCACAGGATACTTGACTCTGTGACATTGGTCTATTCTCCAAGTATTTGTATATGATACTCACTTTCATCAGCTTTTGTCTATAAATTATATTTTTCAAATGTTGGTTTTGCAGAAATTTCACTGACTTCTAATTGATTTTCATGATGTACAGATAATATGTAGCGAATCCTTGAAAAGCTAAACTATCCTGAGTTCATTCTTCGGTAGGGGTCATTGAAAGCTGTCTATGAAAGAGTCCCAAACTGCTCTGTCCAAAAACTTCTTAGTTTTTAATGGTCATCAGTTTATGATCAAGTCCAACTAACTGCAAATTATGTTTGTTTATTTTTGTATATATTGGATGCTTAATTTCCTTTAATTAAAGAGAATCCATAGACAATATTTCTTTAAAACAATTAGTCGCTTTTATAAATTTGGGTAGCTTTATTAGAAGATGGAAATTATCTGAAAAGTTATGTGGTGTATTTGCGCTATACATTTCGAACAATGAAAAAATTAAGGGCAATTCAATTAAACGAAGTGACAAGAAAAGACTTAGAAATGATTGACACAATGTTTGGTACTCCAATCAGATAAGGATTACCAAAGTAGGTTAAGAGTAATAATAAACTGTTTTTGAATACACCGGTAGGGAGGGCAGGCTTACGTTTATGCATAGCTGTAGCCTCAGTGTATTTCAATAAGCGCCCTTGACCATTTATGTAGATGACCTTAAAGGCTGAGTTAACATCAATCTTATGGTTCATCTCGATTAGATGTTTGCCTATAGACGAAGTTAGTAGTCTGACACCTGCGTCTGTTGATTTTTCACAATTCATTTGTTTTTCTAACCATTTCGGGATATGCTCTCGCACCCTCACGTGCAAAGCACAATTACTCCTCCACACACACACACGAAAATGAGTAAATATCGTGGGATGTGACATAATCACTTGTGCACTTTTGAGGTTTGCAGTGGAGCATATTTTTGGCTTTTCGATAATTGCAAGCCGGGCTGCATAATAAATCCTACAGATGACCGAATTCAACCCTCGTCTCAAAATCCTACTGTTTATTTCCCCATTATGTGGTAATTTGATGAAAACATTTTTCTTAGGGGCGGTATAGATTGTAGATTTAAAGACCAATTGACTTCTACACCTGTTTAAAAATTTTAAAGGATATCCGTTTTCAACAAGGGTATCCATCAATATTTCATTTTCTTTCTCTATAACATCAGCCGTGCAAATACGTTGAATCCTCATAAATAGACATTTCACCAAACCTCTCTTATATTGTAATAGACAGAAACTGTGACAATTAAGGTATTGCCCTGTCCAAGTGGCCTTTCTGTAAATTGGTCATCTTATTGAACCATCATCTCTTCGACTCAGAAGCATGTCTAAAAATGCAAGCTGGTTGTAACTTTCTTCCTCGCATGTAAGACTTATATGATTATGTACAGAGTTAAGTCTATCTAATGGACGACTCGCATCTTCATGATCGTCACATATCAAAATGATATCATCTACATATCTCCTATAGAAGGGTAATTTAGAAATTAAATCAAGGGACAATTTCTCAACATAAGACATGTAAACTTCTGCTAACAAAGGTCCTAATGGACTCCCCATAGCAACACCATCCACTTGTCGAAAATGTTCACCTTCAAACGTGAAATGGACGTTGTCAGTACATAATAGTAATGAATCTTTCAAATAAGTTGAAGGAAAAGGGAATGAAAAACAACTAGATGATATATAGTCACAAAGAATATCAACAGTCTTAATCAATGGTACCTTAGTAAACAAAGAATTAACATCAAATGAATACATTTTCCTATCTTTTATGTTCATATCTGCAAGACAGCTGACAGGTTCAAATGGGCCTTTCAAAGTAAACTTACATAATTCATTGCGTATTGGACTTAGGACATCAGCTAACCATTTTTCTAACTTATGTGTAGGAGAGTGACACATTGATGGAATTGGACGTAATGGATTATCAACCTTATGAATCTTGGGTAATCTATAAAGGTTTGGGAAGCCAGATCCCATGAGTTTCAAGGAATGAAACTCTTGCTTATCGATAACATCTATGCCACGAAGTTTTACTAAGTGCGAAATTACTTTTCCTTCCAATTTTCTGATATCATCAGAAGGAACATCGGCTATGAATTTGCTTTTGTCATTAAGGATGGATAACATTTTTGTTTTGTAATCACTTCTGTCCATTACAACTACACCAGATCCTTTGTCAGGTTTCGGAAACGTTGTGTTAATCATTCTTAAATCCTTTTTTTGTCACTTTGTTCAATTTAATTACCCTTAATTTTTTCGTATATATATCGACTTGACAAGTAAATGTGTGAGGGATCAGATTGTTCGAAATGTATAGTGCAAATGCATCACATAACTTTTCAGATAATCTCCGTCTTCTAATAACGCTATCGAAATATCTGTTAACAGTGCAATTCTTTTTTCTCTTCTTTTCATCCAATTATATTGTATCTGTTTTTTGTTTTCTTTTTTCTCCGGGTAATAATTCGCCATGTCAGTCGTGATTGTCCAATCTTCTATATGCGTATGAAATCACGTAAAGATGTAGAAGAAGCCTACAAAGTGATTCAACGTTTTGGTAGTCCTAATTGGTAATCATCTTGTAAAATACAAAACACGAACTCCTCCTTCCTATTGTTTACTTTTTTAATCTCAGGTTTTTGCCTTTTTCTCTACTAGAGCTATATACATTTAGTTGTTTTGTTTTGTTTTTCAAAAACAAGAGTTACTACTGGTTTTTTTTAAACCATAAAGAGAATTTTCGCATTTTTGGATTTCATGTTCAATTGTGCTCTATTTTTTGTTGATAACCACTCATTTCTATAAAAAAAAACAATAAAACAAAGATGTCTGATATTACATTTGAATATTTTCATTGTGTTTAAAGAGTACAAATCAATAATAGCGCTTCTTTGATCAGGGAATAATATAAGACATGCAAATGAACTTAACGATTCATTTGTCTCGTAAATAGAGCGCATGATTAATACTTGATGGCTTGGTTTGGAATTTGTAGACATTCAGTTAGATCTAAGTCACCACTCGGTAGCACTCAGTTGAGTTACACTCAATGTGTGTGTGTGTCTGTGAGGGTTGATGATAGTACTACCCAGAGTGAAGTAAATGCAGCGAGAGTCGAACCCCGGAGCGATTGGCCAGGAGTCTAGTGCTTACTCCAATGAACCAAATCACCAGACTGAGTTCCCAACGTTGAACTTCGCACAAAAGCTCAACAGTCAACGTTGTCGCACTCTGTAGAGCACGTAAAGGTTGTGGAGAAGGAGAAAATACTCAAAAGAACTGAAATTATAGGGTGGGAGAAAGGATAAATATATGCAGAAAAAAATGAGTATTTGATGGGTCCAGAAAGGATTTCATTAAAAGGGAATTCATATACGTCATTGGCAGTGATTCTGAATTATTTCAACAAAAGTTCCAAGCTGCTAGATCTCAGTGTCTGGCGAACCCCAATCAGGCAGTCTATACCGTTCCCGCCCTACGGACAGACAAGCGTAAAAACCTTCAGTCAGGTAGTAAAATGGCTTAATCGATAAATTCTACTGGGCATTAAATACAACTAATGGAAGAATTGTGTGAGGATAAAATGAGAGAGACAGCTGGCTCTACAATGTGGTTGTTTTACTTGAGATAATAACACAGTGGATATGAGTAAGCTGACTAAACATTTGAAATTTTTGAGTGGACACGTACTTAGCTACTGAAATGAATTAAGTAGAATAATGTGGTTTTGAGATAAGTATTAAGAGTGATCTCAGTAACTTAACAATTCTACCAAACTCAGCTAAGAGAGAAGGAAAAAAATTACAGTTGCTCTGACTAGTACTTATTCGGCTGTCAAATGCATTTCTGTTTACAGCACTATTTCTGCTCTTTATCAATGGAAAGTTGACAGGTACTCATTGATATTCACTCTAACTGCTTTTACCAATTCACAAGTAAGTACTGACTGATTGACTGCGTTCCGACATTTGCATAGAAGTGCACCAGTTCAAATTGCCACACACACTAAGCTAGAAAACTGGGAGGAAAAATTTATTCAAAATAAAAAAGGTAATAGTGAATAGAAATGTACGTGAGGAAGAATAAGTACATGAACGAAAATGAGGATTTAATGACTCAGGGAGATTAAAACAAGTGAATGTATCTGTACCATTAAGAACTATTCTGAGTCATATCATTAACAATTTGAAGCTATCGGTTCTTAGCTCCCCAAGGACCCCAGAGAGGCAGTCTGCTCCTCTCTATGTGCCCAAACCAACAGTCAACAGCTCCATGGATTGATGCTGGGTTTTGGTCTGACTATTTATAACTTTTCCATCCTCATCGCATGTCAGCTAACACTGTTGGACGAGGAATGCAATGGAAGCTATGCTTAACATTTATCCTAGGCATCTAAGTCGATGCGACTTTACAAGTTCATTGATTAATGCTACGCTAAACCTCACTATTACTCAGCATATTATACGGGAGATAGAAGGTAAACACTTGTAGTCAAAGACAGCTACCCTTTCCATATCTCCCATTTTCATTGTCTGTGTCTTCCACCTATAAAGAAGGACATACCGATCTGCTACGAAGTACACACGTCCTTTGATTGAAAGCAAGATATTACGTCTACGCCACAGATGATGTATTTTGGCAAATGTCACATGAGCCTAATGTATCCATGCTGTGATTTCGCCAACGATCAATCCACTAAGTCTGATGCAACTTCCCAAGTAAGGGAAGTGGTCAACACAATCTATCATTTCACTTCCTAATTTTAAGCTAGGAGCCGGTGTAGTTCAGTCCTGCAACGTCACCTTACATTTGACAGGGGTGAATCGCATGCCAAACGTATCAAGATTTCTGCTCGAGATGTTCGGAAGACTGCATTTTACCAGTGTCTCCACCTAGAAGGACAATAACATCCGCATATTCTGAGTCCACAAGACTATTCCTTGAAAAAACCTAGGTCACTCAACTGTAAATAAGGTTAAAAAACTGTCTCTAATCTGAACCGAGGCAATACATCAGGATGCAAAGTAAGTACACTGGACGGACAGTGAAATCGGTATCTAATCGATTCTCTAGACATTTCCGCAAAAGCTTTAGGTTCAATGATTCCCAGCACTTTACTGGAACATTCGTTCAACATCTGGTCGAATTGGAACGTAGTGGATATTTCGGCTTTCTGTATGACAATCGGTAGGCAAAAAAATCAAAATTCGTTTTTGCCCACCTTCGTATACCGAAGATAAATCGCACGCGAACACTTTTATCATCCTAGCTATTATCGTAACACTTTTATCCTGCCTGTACCTCATGTCTCGATTTGATTTACAATACCATTCAACCACTGGAACCCGATTCAATAGCCTATGAATTCTAACTACTACCAATTCGTGATTTTAGGGCAACTACCAACCAATGTCATCGGCGGGAACTCAATCCCTATTGGATGAACCTCACTGGTCACGACTTCTCGCTAGAACAAATGATAAATAGCTCTCAAGTACACCTACTGTAAAATTCTTTTGTGATTAACTTCGTCTGCTTGTTAGTAGCCTAAACAACATCCTCTAGTAGAATATGTAAAGATACTGATGAATAATAAACCTCACCTGGGAACAATACTGTTAGTTACACAACCCAAAAGAATGAGATAATTAACGTGTGAGCACAATTTGGGCACTGTGGCAGAGTATAATTGCATATTAGATAACTTTATTTGATATGACACACAGTATTAATAACTGCATTTTTTAATTTGAATATTTTTGGATTTATGTAACGCAACTAATCTTGACTACTTAGATGTTTTGAGTATGCATTGATAATTCTTGTTATTTACTATATTTTGAGTATGAATTTCAATTGTTCACTCTCGTGTAATATAGAAGTTAGTTTATTGATAATTCTGAGTTTACCAAGGTGCACTCTTCCTGCTTGAACCTTTCTTGTTGCATCCGGAACGCATATACGACGATATTTAGAAATTGTCCCATTTTTTAGAATCAGATGTTAAAAATACAATGATTTGTAAATCTTACTTCTACCTGTGATGGTCGTGTGAGTTTATTGATTCGTATTCTAATAGGCAAACCATAAGCATCATTAATGTAAGAGAGTAGAATAATATTAATACTGTATAATTGTGTGTTATATTAAATAAACTTATCTAGTATGGAACGAAGTTGGGCGTCCAAAGGTGACATGGAGAAGACCATGTGAGGAGGAGATGAGAGTTTATGGACAATCGTAGAGACCACTTCAGAAAATAGGATGAAATCTAGATGTGCTGTTGAAGCTGTTGTTGAGATAGATTGAACACATGCTTAAGAGACCGCAGAGTAACATCACTCACCTTGAGTGAAATCGTAATGGGAAGCAAGTAGAGAGTTTGGTTTCGTTCGAATGTGGCAAGAAAGAGATCGTGTGCAGAGATAAAAGTCTGCAGCCAGCCGAAAGTAATCCTGCAGAAAAAGATGGAATGGAAATACGTGGGTAAAACCCTATTCTGCAGTCGGAATGCAAGGGACAGAAACTTAGCTTGACATCGTTTGTCACGAGTTCATCAGCTGTCTACGATCTTTTGAAATATTCTTGGTTAATTATTTGTTTTCATATTCTGTTCCATAAACGGCAATTCACTACAAATCAGACAATAAGATTATTCATGTGAAATGTGTGTTGATGAATAGCTGTCCTATATTCTGATGTCAATTTAGTATGAACTTCTATGAGCAACTGAGTTTTCCGTGAGCAGTAACCAACCAGTAGAATCCACAGGTAAATGAATATCAATTCACAACAGTGTTGGTTTGCACGAATTTGATTGGTTTCAGGATTTCATCATGAACTGACAACGGTTAGAGGACCATTGGAAAATCTGGGAGTACTGTACAACTGTTTCGTTCTAGTTTGGAACTCTTCTCAGTACGCACCCACTGAGGTTCGTATCCAGAACCTTCTGGTTAGAAAGCGAGCTCTGATGTTCACTAGTGAATGGCCTTATTCACCTAGGTAGTTACCTGGGTTCTAGTGGGAATTCGTGACTAGTGGGATACAGTAGGTCGGGCGTGAGGACAAGTACTCGCCGATGACATTCGCCAATGGTCGCGCCAAATCGTGAAATGGTTGGAATTCATGGACTGGCCGCTGGGTCGGGTCCCAGTGGCTTAATAGTCTGCGAACTTGTGTTGTAACCAGAAGGTCCTCAGTTCTAACCCTGACGGTGGGTGTGTACTGTTGAAGAGTCCCAAACTAGGTTAAAACAGCTGTCCAGTACTTCTGGCTTTTCCACTAGTCCTCTAACCGATGGCAGTTCATGATGAAATCCTGATGTTGTGTAACTTAATTCTTTTCCTAAATATTCTTCTTGTATTTGATTTATACTACTTATTATTAGTAAGTAGTATAGTTTAATTTCAACGAAACCATAGCTGTTGAATATCACTGAAACTTATCTCACTTATTGTTAAACCATTCGATTTGGTGTGGTGTAATTATCTTCCAAGGGTTAAAGTGTATTCGTTGAACATTCGGATACCTATTTCTGGTGATTTGTACATTGTCTCAGTATTTTTATCTCCATGTGGATCACTGCTGATACAGTTTCGCTGGCTTTTTTTCTTATGAACCCGAAGTGTCAGTGCTTCGACGGTTGGATTTGAAGATAGCTACCATAACCCAGAAAATCAATCCAACCGCCGAAGAATCTTCAACGTACGAAAAAGAATATAAAAATTCAAATCATTAGACACAAAATGTCAGTATATTTAAAGAATATATATAAATTATCATATATGAATATATTTATATATATATTACAGGTAATTGAAAATACGTATAT